AACATACAATAAAAAAACAAATTACACTGTTTATTGATATTTATCCAAATTGCCCATAAAGAGCTCTGATACAATGTCATTAGAAACACTTTTCTGTTTAATTCAAATTTTGAAAAGTTAATTTGAAAAATTTCTTCAATAAAAAGCAAGATCTCATCAGTGAATTTAAGTTATTTCTAAGCCATTATATTTGGTGCTTCATAAACATACGAGAGTCAGTGAGTTAACGAACTTGCCTGTTTACACAAGTCAGGTCAAGTCATCAAGGAATAATGTTCCTAATTCGAAGTCTGTTTAACCCTGTCAGCGATGTTAGATATTGAAACTGGAGCATGTAGGCTTGGTTTTCGACAGTTCATGTAACTTCAAACATGGTTTATACACTTATAAAACTTATTATCCAATTTTCCTCAATACATTCCTTTTCAATCTAAAAACTCTAATGCCAACTTCCTTTAAATTCAAATTCATTATCACATTCATCAAAATGTCATTGTTTGTGAAACTGTTGTTTATATTTCCTCTTTTCATAAAGATAATTATTCCTAAAAATGTTACAAATTCCACTCCCGAAACCTTAGTCAAGACAAGAACATCAAGAAGGGGCATTGATGGAAAAGAATCAAATTATGCTAAAAATAACTCTGAGGGGGAAAAACAGGATGTGTTTTATTATTATTACCTACATTACACCTGAAGTTATTGATGTGTTTTCACCTTCTTTGAGGAAACACCTAGAAGGGAAACATGAAGTTTGTGGGAGTACTGTTTATGTTTTTTAAATGACAGTCTAAGAAACAGAGAGAATACAATGTCCCAAATAAAAATATTGCGTTGTTTTATTAATATAATTGAAATAATTGGAGGAAATGGTAAAAAATATGGTAGTCAAGATTAATGACAGTAGACCATGTGGTATTATGGCCTCAGTTGACACACTTTAATCTAGATCCTGTTTACTGTAAAATAAGAATAGAGTAATAATACATTACTCTACTCAGCCTATACAACATAGTTTATTAAACTTATTACAATAAATACATTATTATTACTCTACAATACATAATCAATATTCAACTATGTAAATTAGATAGGTGTAGCTTCAACAGCTTAAGCAAAGTCAGTTAGGCCAGGATGGAACCTATCCAATAAAGGCCTACAGTAGTAGCCTAAGTACATTACTAAAACTTGTAACATCTGTTAAAACCCAAATTATAAAAATTCAAAACTTCGTGCTTTAAGCTATTATCAAATCAAAGTGGTAAAGCACAAATTTTAGCTATGTCTGAACCCATCTTTCAAAGAAGAGGGTCTTGTTTAGTAGTTACACCCCAAACAACATTGTCAATAGTGGGCGTGGCTGTTGACTACCTACTGTGTACTGACACTACGGATGGGTATGCTGTCAGTGTCATGCTGTAGTCACATGTTTACATTGGCCCCCAAGATTCTATCACAAATCTCACATGAAAGTAGGCACACGACTTACAAAATTAGCCATATTACTAAACATTAATATTTTTAGTTAGTATCCATTAATCCCTATTGTAAAAAATTGAAACATATGGTGAAGAGAAGGGGGCGACTTCCCTCATCAACAACCACCATGTTTCTCGTTTTACTTACCATACTTGTTGAATGGAACATGTCGTTTTCCAAAATATCTGACATACATGGCTCATCCATGTCTCCAAGTTTTCGATCGTGTCCATAAAGAATGTCCATGGTCGGATGTCCCGGGAGGTTTCCTGCTGGATCCTCAGGGGATGGTCAATATACCGTGGGGAAGAGGTGGTTCCGTTTGTACAAACGCTCCGTCTCGTTCAACAGAGATTCTCCGTCTAAACCAAATAACACTATTTCAATGTATACATCCGCTAGAGAAAATATTACTCCATACCCATACTGTTATAATAAATTGGTGACAGCTTGAACAACCCCCATTGAACTTAATCGCAAATCTATTCTTAATGACGTCAAAGCGATATTTAGCTTATTTCTGAATATAACGGACAAAATCTCTCTCCATGACAAAATCGATGGAGAAATCCCATTAGAATATCAATCCACCACAGTAGTAAAGACACGTCTTTTTACCCAGTTAAAGAACCAATCAATTTCCTGGGATTCCACCACAATATGCAAATAGTGAGGTCATGTGACGTATTAAACTATTTTTATATACAAACATGAAAGGTTTCGACCAATCAAATATCGTAAATCAAAGGGATTCCCTCGTCTGTGAATATTAATAACAGGACTACTTCTGTAAAATTTTGACAACCGAATAACTGTATTTTGTTAAAGACGCTCAAATAATTTGTCACATTTTTTTTTTATTAAAAGTAAATTGATGATTGAAATGATTTGAAAGCGAGATTGTAGACTTAAAATGTATCTTTATTCATATTTTAAAAACAGACCTGGAGATATATATCAGGAATATCAGGAAACCATAAGTGTGGAAGTTGTAAATTTTGCTTGATCATCACATTTTTAATGGTTTATATACTTTATTTAAGTTGATCATGTTACTTTTTGGAGGATTGGCATTTTTCGTAAAACACTATGCAAGAAATGATTCAAAAAGTTAAATTATAGTCTACGAAGGGGAAAAATTATAAACTATCGCTACCTCAAAATCATCTACCATTTAGGTTTCATTAAAACTCTTAAGCCCAAGTTGGCCGAAAAAGGCTAATATAAGTACCCCTTGAATGCGACCGACCATCAGGAACCTCCCCGGTTAGTGAAAAAAATGTGATAACCTGTATTAATTTCTACTTTGAGCCTTACTGAACTGATGAAGACAGCAAATGTTAGTGATGACATTCCTCTGTAGCTCAAATTAACGATTTGTTGGAAAGTATTTAAGGGAACTAGATCCCTGATCTAATAGAAATAGCTTAGACAAAGTAACTTTGACATGAAAAAATCTTTATACGTACCAAAAGAGTGTCAAAAGATAGTGTTGGGGTATCCAAGAACAAATCCTCCAAATTATATTGATCATACATTATTGGCCCTTTCATTGTTCCCGTAACTTTGATTTCACCTTTTCCCATTAGCCTTCAAATATATCATGCACCGAATTCCAATCTCCCAAATATCACAAGTCTTTTTTCCTAAAAGTACACCAATGTCAACGCGTGTTGTGAAAATTTTCATTATTCCATGATGGAAGTATCCAATTAACACAATTAAAATATTTTTGTCCCGAATTACAAGCAAGTTTCTTAATTTATGAATATTTCTACACGTATGTATTATTTTATCTTCAGTCAAAAATCAATGGAATATTTAACTCAAAGCTGATGAAATTTTTCTTATTGCTACATAAGATTTGAAGAAAATGTTTACGTCTGCCATGAGTGGAATATTTTAAACAGATTAAACACATTTTCAAATTGATTAGGCCATGATGGACGGTGAATTTTTTTTTTGAATTTTTTAATTTAGTATTCAGCCTGTCTACTACGATAATTAAAAGATTAGTCATGTTCCCCATAGTTAAAGATATTTTTGTTTGTTTTTAGGACTATACATTTTCTGTGTCAAGACTGAGACTGAAATTAAAGATTAAAACTTCAGAATTTCGGAGGCTTGAAATATAATATAATGGCACCCCCATCCCCCCCAAGATATCATAAGTTTTACTGTTTAACTCATGTTGTATCTAACATTTCGATTTTTAAATCGATCTTATAATCAAAAGGGAAATATGATAAATGTAAAGAAACTATATGGACTGATAAAGACTGTCGAGGATTGGAAACTGAAAGTATCCCCAAACTTTTCAATATCATGTACAGTTATTTTAGCTGTTAGAAATCAATAGTTTGTTTACCGAAATTTCGATGAATTTGTACATCTGTTGAAAGTCAATATAAGACAAAGATAAATTCATTGATCCCTTCTTGTCAATATGGTCACATATGTTTCGCCTAATATAATTTAGATTTTAAAAGTCAAGACCTCTTTTAACCCTAAAAGAAATTAGTATCCTACGCCTGGGGTAACTCGCGAAATCTCATTAACGGACAAGTTTATCTCTTTAAAAAAAATCTGACTAGACACGAAAAAAGATCGATAAAAAATCTTGAGCGCAATCAGTATCATCAATAATTTCATTCCCTATTTTTTGTAAAAAGTGCTTCTTCTAGTCTGTATTTTAATCATTTTTCAAGACTCTTTTATAAAGTCTCCGACCAAGACCTCTCGTGTGCTCGCACATTTAGAGGAGAGGGGTTATATAGGAGAAAGTCTGTTCCCAAATCCTTTTCATCTATGTGAATAAAATATTGTTTAATAAAACTGTAATTTATTTTAATATTATACATTTACGACCGGTAGCTATGATGACATTTATACATAAGTTTATTTATATTAAAGGTTGCTTTAATGTTAACATTTTAATATAGTAAGTCGGAGATATGCAAATTTGAAAGATGAAGTCCGATGTGCAACATGCATTGAATAAAATACCCTTATTATCTAGAAAATCTTGCATGTGTTAAACAAGGCCTACTGTGATAAAGGCCTAAAGGGTGTGACCTGCATCCATCCTGACATTTATACTAAAGTGATATAGGACCATGTGAAGTTGAACTGTTGATGAATAATCTCTCTGTGGATCATTGACCACAGCTTGACAAGTTTATCATTTCATTGACTAGAAATTTCACCATTGAGTTTAATGAGACAGAATAATGTCACTTAGTTTTACTATAATACTATTCATACTGTCAATTGTTCTCTGTAACTGTACTCTAGTGAAAAGAAATGCCAAGCTTTATTCTATTGGTCAGGTTTGTGTCCAGCTTCAACAGGAAACAAATTTTGAATACAATCTGGAGATGACAAATTTTACATTCAAGCAAGAGGTCATGTGAGATACTAGTATAAGGAATGAATATTTGTAATTTCCACCAACAGATAGAAACTCAACACCCCACCCTCATCATAGCTATACGAGATTAAAGTTTTATTTATAAGCCCATTTTAAGCATAGATACTTTAATTTTTATATCACAGATCAAACTAATAAATAAATAACAATTCTATAAATAATAATATAAATAAATCAAATAATTGATTTGAATATAGGTAAAAGAAAGTAAAGTAATAATTGTAATGCTGATATAAATATCACAGTATTTTGGATGGAAGGTGATTTTCAAGCAGATTCTTTGGATTAATAATGATGGTACTTGGCAACTTTGGTCATTACAAAAATCTCTCACTTTTTTAAGAAATAACCTAGATTTCAAAATTTAAGAATAACTTGTCTTTCAGTTATCAAATAAAAAATCTGTACAATATATCAATGTTGAAGAACAACATAATGAGGAATGTTCACTTGAAGTTTATAATGCTGAGAAGTAAGATATTCAATAGATGCAATTTATACTTAAAGACTGTAGACACTAGTAAGTAATGTCTATCAGTTATTCAATAAGTTCAGATTTCAATAAGTAAGAAAAACAGAATTTCATATTCACAAATTACTGATACACAATAAAATAATTATAAATACATGACAAAATAAACTAATAATTCAGAGCACACAACATAGCTACACCACGTTTAATCCAGTGTTTCTGTTCTAAATCTGTGGGTACTTCTACAGCAAATACAAAATTAGTAGAATGACCAGTTGTTGACAAGGTACCTGAAAATATTCAGAATATATAATACAGTGTTTATCTTTACAAACTATCAAAATAAACACATAAAACATACAATTATGTTACATACATGTAAATCAATCAAAAAAACAAATCACAATTTTTAATAAAATATTAAAAAAGGTATTGTATGTGTAATACCAATACAAATAAATTTGTTCAATCTATATGTATATCTTACAATTTTTAAATTGAATAAAAAAAAGTACTGAATATATATCAGTATATTATTATAATGAAGAAATCTATAGATCTTATTTAAACAAAAACAATGCCTGAGGATAGATCTCACTAACTCCTTATATAAATATATTTTAAACTTATCCTTTTATGATATCTATATGAGTCCTATTTACAGGTTCTTATATAACTCTAATCAAATACATCAAAGTCAGATTTGAATTTTACACGACTGTTAGCCTAATCATATTTATAGCACACAAGGGCCATCATAAAACTAAGCCTAATGATAATCATTCTTATATCAATTTTCAAAAAACATGAGTAGGCTTAATGTTTTAATGAATACCAATTTTGAATACAGCCTCAAATTACAGTCTCATGTTAAGTAAAATAATGATGTTGATATTGTTGTATTCAAATATCACGTAATAAGTTAACGTTTTATATTTCTGATATGCCTTCTATATTAGATGTGTCTACAACAACAATATATAGAATCTGTTTGGTTTATTGATTATTCAAGTTTATACTTTAATGTAATAATGAAATATAAAAAGGTATTTCAGGGCATAAGAACAGTAAATGATTGGTTTAAATATTTGCATTACCAGTTATCCCTAACATTTTTAAGAATAATAAGTAACTTGTTTAACAATTTAATGAGGGGTGGATAGGTGGGTTGGGCATGATCTGGAAATCCCTTCTCCACCATTTCTTGAATTGTCTTTCCATTATTGTAAATAAGGAAGAAATTGCCTAAGAGCATTCCTTGATTCTGTGGCCCCTACACAGTCCCCTCACATAATGATTTATAGAAAGCCATTGATGAGAAGTCGAATGAAAGTGACATAGGTCTAAACTTTTCTAGTCAAGTTTTATTTCTTAGAGTGTTATAAATAAATGCAATGAAGCTCTATCAGTCTATAAACAAATATATTAAGACAACTATATCCGTTTAAATGTCATGTCAACTATAGAGATTCCTTGCTAATAGACATGGAAGAATTATAAGATTTCTAAGCTTAAAAATAATCTGGTCTTAAACTATGTTCTCAAAATCTTGTATTACTCATCTCAATCCTTGTTTTTATATATATAAAACATGATTTTAAGTGTGTAATGTCAATATCTATAGTTTTCAATATTTAGTATTTGTTCCAGAAAATATTTTTTACCCTATTATCAAAACACTTAAAAAAGTTAGTTATTGATTTTTGACCATATGTCATCATATCATAATGTTATTATAGATATCTACATATATTTATATATTGATTTATATTTTTTATACACATTTATATATAGTTTATATTTCAGTTGGTGCAATTAGTGTCACTAGGCTCATCTAAACAAATGCCACAGCTGAATGGTCGATTTGAAAATAGATAGCAGTATATAAGGGTTTAAATTTTAACATTTCAAATAATCATTCTCACAAGGTGATCTTAGTAAGCAGTAACTTGTGCTGTTGTCTAAGGTTTGGACTTTAAGAGTGATAAGGTGACATGTGTTTGTATCCCCAAAAAGTCGACAAAATATTATGCCATGGAGATAGTTTTATAGTTACACTTGATATGGAGTTTTATAGAAGATACTCTCCAACTTTGATGCATCAGTATTGAAAGTACAATACAAGTACAGAAATATTGTAAACATGAATCAAGTTGAACACAAACTTACCAGCTCTAGTCAATGTTTTGTATACAGGACATTCATAGAAACCTGATGTTGGTGGTTTTCTATTAGCAGTAGGTATCAACCATAAAGCAGGCATATCCGTATACAATTCTTTAGGTCTAGATTCTGCCAACAAACCAGCATCATGGTCCCATCTAGCTCCTTCCACAAACAACCCATTTATATAGCAACCTAACTCTGGTTCCTTCTTTAATTCTTCACTTTCATCTTTCATTACCTACAATTTTACCCAAATGATTAGAATCAATCAAGGAATCAATAAATAAAGGAACAATTTTACCCCATTTTTTAAATAAATAAACAAATAAACTGAATAAATCGAATGAATTTTATTAGTGATTAATTGAAAGGAATATCATTATGTCTATTCAGCGAAGTAAATAAAATGATGAAATAAAATGCTCTATTTCATCATTAAGTTCTTCATTCAACTGCTTCCAGCAAAACAGCTGTTATAATCATATACCAACGTATATTATGTATAACCATCTACACAAGACATTAGAATTTCATTCACTCACTGAGGTACATCAATGACATAAAGTTTATTTTCTAATTATACAAGTTAATTTTGTAGTGTAGATCGCTATAATAGATTCATATATTAAAGGCAGGAGGAATATTACCTTAAAGTCAAAGGAGATTGTATCAATGGAAATTTTCATTTTTCTAGCAAAGTTCTGTAGAGTGCCAGTTAAGAAAGCTTGAGGAAAGAAGAATCCAGATATCCAAAAAACCTGAAAAATAAAAGTAAACAATCTTTATTTATGATACAAGTGATGATGGAGGTAAAGTCTATAATTAAAGAGAGATAATATTGCACAAATTTTACCTAATAAATTGTCTCCCTTTGATCAAACAGCAGGAATATGCTATTATGATCCATTGCTGCATTAAACAATTTCACCAAAAATGTAAATGAAATACTCACTGTTGGAATACCATTATCTATCCAATCATGTATAAACTTCACTCTGGCAACCAAATCTATCACCCACGAGGCAAGAGGTTTTAAAGATGGGTAGGCCTGAAAATAAAGGATCAGTTTGTATATATATATCTAATATATACAAAATTTTTATTTTCACTCAAGTACTAAATTTGGATGGATTCCAATATATGCTTTTGTAGATGATTATAAGTGCATATTCGAAATACCATGCAATGTCAATGTCACTATGACAAAAAAAAATATTTATAAATGTTACTGACAAGAGATAAGACTCACCTTTCCAGCCCACATATCAGGAACAGCATTATTATACAAACTGTTGGCCATCTTCTCTAGTCCTTGTGACATAACAACTAAACCTTTTAATGCTTTTAATAAATCATGTAAACTCTGATGTATGGTGTTCAATAATCGATTATATCTGAAATAAAAACACAACCTGAATGTATTTCAGAATGTGCTTAATGTGCACGAAAAAAAAAGGAGGTATAGACAGAATTCCAATTGCAGAGAAAGGAATAGAAAAATTTTGAATGCAACAGATCCAGTTCTGTTTCAACACATACCTAAAATAGAACAACTCTTCAGTAATCACCAATTTTGCACCATTATTAAAAGGTACAGAAAAAAATAACTTACCTTATAACTTCCTGAGTAAGAACAGTATTCATAGATTGTTCATATAATACAGGATATTTCTTCATTACATGTTTAATATCTATAGGACTGGGTACTTGTTCTAGAATACCTTTAGCTGCTTCTTCCATTACCTATAATTTTAAAATCAGTTATTCCTGTTCAGTGAGTTTGATTATTAATGTCCCTAGTCATACTCATATATTTGATATTTCTAAACCAGTTTCATTGTTGAAGAAATTCAAATATAAAGAACATGAATGCAAATATGAAAATAGTATGAGCAAAACATCTCTAGTAAAATGTACCAATTCAGTTTCTTTCACATAAGTGTAAAGTTGTATTTAACCAATCTTAGAAATATTTTTATATCGCTCTTTAATTAATATATTGATCACAAATATCTTGTTATTGTTTCATCTATCTTATGTAGCTATATTGAACTGAAATAGTCAAGACACTTAACATACCTCTTCCCTAGACTTGCCACCACCAGCAGCTGTTTTTGGTTGTAACATCAATAAATTAGTCAAGTTAAATACTGTTTCATTCTGAGCAAATGTAATATTGGCATTTTCATGTAAACCAAATATTTCAGGGGTATCATTGATAGGTAAGCTCTTAATATAGGCTAGGTAACCCTGGAACACAAATTACAGGTTAGTTAGTTATAATTTCAATGCTTCTGATAAAATGGATTATCATCAGATACGTAAATCAAACATTTTGTTTTTATATGTTCAGGGCTAGAAAAGTAGAAAAGTTTGTTATTTGTAAATATATTGTTGGTGTCAGAGTTCATACCTAAGCATACAAAATTTGATCTTCAATATATAGAACATTTAGAAATCATCCTTTAACCAAATTTAACTTACATTGAGGTCCATTGAAGGACTGATTTGTCTGTATATACTGGATGGAGAATATACATGATCTTCATTTAATACATCAGGTACATAGAAATCATGTAATATATTCATCAGACATCTTCTATCCCAATCATCAGTGACACGACCACCATAGTTAATATGTCCAGCTGTATAGATCAATACCTAAATAATTATAATAAAATTTAATAACTAAACCTACTTATCAATCCTGGGTGTATTTGATTTGTGTGTATGTTAAAATGAATTAGAAACATTGAATTGGGAGACACAGAAATATTTCTATCCTTCTTATATATTTGTGTAAACCATCACTATACAATTATTGCCTCCAATTTTGTCATCCTTTTGGACAAGATTTTTGATTAACAGAATTGTTTTGCTTGTATAAATTTCTTCCAACCCATTCAAAGAATTCACAGTGCAAATAATATTATCCACGTATTTATATGCCAGATTATATATATTTCTGTCTATCTTTACCTTGTAGGCAATTTCATCATACTCCTCTAAGAACATTTTCAACTGACTGACACAGATTCTTAAATCTCCATCAGTAAATTCATAGGGTATATTAAATCCTAGAGCTCCAAACTTTCTTCTTTCTAGACCTACACCATGAAATAAACATAGAGATAGTAGGAGATGTTTAAATTCCGGAGTCTGAAATAGAAATAAGTATTGATTTCATTAGATACATATATATATGTAAATATTGACTATTTATCAATATAAATGAACAATTTTTTTTTTGTTAGTAAATCTACTGTCGACATCCTAGATTTACTTTTAATTTTGTTAACCAATACATCAACTAAGCAAATGTGACCAAATGTAAAATATGTACAAGCTACATGCAGTTCAATGGCGCCCAATTTTCCACCTTTCTGTAATGCATTCTTATAACTGTGACTACAAATAATAAAATACCTTATCACCACAAGAATTCAAGAAATCATCACTAAAACCAGAATAGGATTTGAGTAAATTGGCTTTAATTCCTTTTGGTGGTTCTACTGTCATCTTGGATCCATTTTGTAGAATAAATACAGGAAACTTATCACTTGGCATACTGGTTAGCCATAGTCGGAAATCACGATGAACCTAAAACAAAAAATACAACATTAGTCCTTGGCTAAACTAAATGAAATTACTCTTTCCTATATTTACTAATGAACTGGGCTTACTATAATAATGATAAACTAGGACTCATACAACAACTGAAAATAGAACACACAATCACAATTTAAAATTGACAGTCTGTCCTAGATCTATTTACAACTGTGTTTACTACATTTATGAAAGACTTATCCAATGATTACACCCACTGGGGAAAAAAGAATCTAAAATCAATAATTTCCAGCACAAATGAAGTCAAAAACTATTAGCTGCATCTTATTCCACATCTATTGATATTATTTAACTGTTTTACCTTGTCAGGGTCTATCTGTTCAATCAATCTTTCTAATGAAGGCATCCAACTTGGTGACAAGTGACAATTCTGGAAAAAGACCCATTTACCTCTCTCCATCGCACTTCTCATTAATGCTTCAGCTCTTGGACCCTGAAACAATCATTCCAAATTTTATCATGTGAATATAACAGCAGACAATACACTTAATGTCGAATTTAAATTTTTAAAATTTAGGTTTCAATCAAAATACTTTGTAGAAATATCAAAACTGTTGGAAATTAAATTATTGTATAAAACTTGTACTTTATTCTCCAAGTCTTAGGTTTCAATTTACAGTTGCTTACCTGTCCCTGACCTAGAGAAATGGCACTTAATTTCTTGGCAAATCTCATTTCTTCTGCAAATTTATAGAGATCAGCAGCAGGATCTGTACCTTGTGATAATACGAAGATAAGAGGTGTGGTGGGAGAGGAGTCTTTATATACTAAATGTAAATCAGCAGTCTGAAATACACAGATTATAACATGTAGAGATTATCAAATAATGAGATTTGATTCATGAAATATGTTGATGAAATTCTATAAATATAATAAAACTACTTGTATTCAGGTAACTGTTCTTGCAAATTTATGAAGAAGGTTGATATGACATAAATCTCAAATGAATGTGACAATAAGGGATGAATCAGAGCCATCATCTATAAAATCAGAATTTTGACTTCCAGTCAGGTGAATTTGAACCTTAGTTAATTAATTGCCATTTTAAACTCACTGACTGAACACTGGGTTTGACCTTTGATAAAGATCTTCTATAATGAGGAGATATAGTGGAAGATAAGAAAAGGTGTGCATTATATTAGCAACTTTATGGATTATATTACCTGTGGTTCAATAAATCTTTGACCAAGATATTTAGCAACAAAATCTTGCATAGCATTGGTAACTTTATCAGGACGTAAACATTTTAATACTATCATCTTCTGGAAATCATCTAATTCTGTATTCCACTTTCCTGGTAACTCTTCTCTGTAAAATAAATATTTTTCACATTTGTTCAACTCAGATGATTACAAATCAAAAGACCACTTATCAAGTAATTTGATGCTAAACATGAACTCAATGCCGAATTGCCATTATATTGTGATCTTCTGTATGTATCAGATTGACCAGATTGTAATAGAACTCTTATTAGTTATCTTATCTTACCTATGAGGTTCAGCGCTGTCAAATATTTTCTTCAATCCATCTTCATGATTCTTAAAATCCTCAGCAAAGTTTGAAAATTTAGGTAGAGATGCTAGCGTAAGGAAATCATTCCATGATCTATCAGTTAACCATTCAGGAAAAGGATTGTCAATATCTTTTGGTTTAATAGTACCACCAGCTATCAGATATCTCCATTCATCCTATCAATAACATAAACACATCATAAATAGTTCCAATAACATAACTACTCAACATCAGATAACTTCATTTAATCAATTTGGTTCGACTTATCATATTCCATTATAATAAATCAATTGAAACAATCTTATTAAAGCCATTACTATTTCAAAACGCCAAAATGTCAAATGACTACTGATATGTGCTGCCTTAGTCAAGGCTGGGTTATCAATCAAAAGCGATCTTATTTGGTAATGTGAAGGCTTTAGTGGACTGTACATAACACAATAAGAAACAGCAGAAGTTGCCAACTAAATTTATCAAAAACTGTATGTATGCATTGTTGATTCTGTTTCCATGGCTATTCCATATCTGCCATTGAAACAAATTTATAACTTACCATATCAATAAGACCTTTATGCATTCTAATTCTGACACTAAGTAGGAAGGCAAACAACAACTTATGTTTCTCAAATAAACTTCTACACACATTACTGTACAAACTGAATGTGAAAAAGTTGTTGATATTTTCAATTCTCTGGGCAATATTATCTGAAAAATATCACAAGAAATTTTTTTTTCATGGCATGTTTGCTTCAAGTAGTCTATCATTTTTCATTTTAAAACTCCTGATAGACTGCCCATTAAACTCAGAATGTTAGGTTAATGTTTTTAATTTTTTCAATGTCAGCCCCTCTGATCCCAAAGTATGTGAAATATCCAAAAGCTTTGTATTTTGGCAGTTCATTTTGTTAGTACTTGTGGTTTATGATTTCTTTATACAAAAGAGCTTATTATGTTCACCCCAAAACTTACCTGCACGTTCAGCATTGGCAATACCATTTAGATAGATATTGATAAACCATTCTAGTGAATATTGATACATAGGATCTGTATTAGCCATATCAGCTACACAGAAAAATAAGATCTGTGTGTTAACAGCTACTGGTATATACTGACTACGTGTCTGATCTATATCTTTCTCTGTCTTCTCAGCTGCTATCACTTTAGCCTGTAAAAGAAATTTCATATTGTGGTCTGGATTAGTACTGTCTTAACAAAAGTTACTTCCCTTCTAGTCAGATAGAGTTGCTTGTCCATGCTGTGAATATAGGTGTCTGTGGAGGATTTAATACATAAAGCATGGCAATGAATAAGCTTAAACCATGGTTTTTATTTTATGTAATCCTTAATCATGATTATCTCCCACAGAACATTGTATCACATCATTTTTTTTAAATATGAGTATTTTGGCCTTTCTTTTCACACTTACCTGGATTTCTTGAGATTTTACTTTTGAAGCAGCCAATGTTTGAATCAAATCAACATCATCAACAGGGCTGCCTTCAGAACTGCTAAGACGCTGCAGGATACGATCCTCTATTTCTTTTAATTCCTGCTTCATCTTGGCATTACTAATAATCAGTTGATTTTTAGCTTCTTCCAAATCAGGTCTTTCTTCAGCTACAACTGTTCCCAATAGCTGATCTTCTAGACCACTGAATAACAAAAGAACTAATTATCACAAAGGCACCATTTTTTCCTTAAAAATAGTAGAACTATGCTTCTGAAATGAATGAATGAAATGATTACTCACTCTAAACTCTTTGATACATTTAGATCAATGGAAATACTATAGCATTACGTTTACAAACAATATAATGGCTAACATATATCATAAAATCATTTTGAGAATATTTAATTCATAAAAAATAACTGTTGAAAAAGAAACAAACCTTGGTGAAAGAGTAAAGTTAACAATAGTAACTTTAGTTGATACTTCTGGTGTATAATGTGGATTAGGTAATTTAGTTGTTATATAGAATTTAAAATCATCATGATATGGTATAATAGCATCTCCTAATTTAATCACAGTACTACCTTGTTGTTTAAACGTCTACAAACAAAATAAACATAAACTTATCTAAATCAAAAATAAAAATAAAATATATAATATACCAATATAATCTGTCCATTTAGTACTTTGGAAGTCCTTATTTACTTAACATTTTTGAAAACAGTCTTATCATGTTTGTTTTAGTGTTTTCTGTATGTATGAATCTTGAAGCTATTAATCTTACCTGTCTGAGTAAAATAGGTTCTAAAGCTGGATCTAATTCTACTCCAATATTCTCCAATAAACAGGGTTTACCAAATCTTACAGCATTTTCTAAACTTCTTAAGAAATCCCGATCAGACAACTTAATAACATCTATACCATTGTCTTTTTCCTACAACAGGAAAACAAAACATTTAAGATAAAATTCAAGATGGTAATGATTCCTAATTCAAAGATCAATCTGTTTCCTGATTCAAAGATCAAATTGATTTCAGAAAGTACCATATTATTGTCATATTGTGGTCTAGACTAGTTTCTTCTCAACAGAAGTCCCTCCAAATCAGATGAATTTGCCTGCCCTTTTTTTGAAATGTGACAAGAAAATGAATCCTCCTCCAGAATCACTCATCTTACCATATTTTTAACCCATTTATTGGCCTGGCCTTGAGGATCAATAAAGAGTGGCCATCTTCTGGAGAATTGGATTATAACACCATTTTCTACTGATAGAGCATCTTTAGGTAGACCAGCTATCTGCCAACTACGGATTTTAACAGGATCACTCATAGTACTAGTTAGATTGGGATCCTCTGTTCTTGGAACTTTATATTCATCTAATAACTTTATCCATTCACCTAACATATTCAAACGATATTCACCCTGAAACATTAATATATAGAAATATTATATCTGCAATAAATCCAGCTGAAAAGAGGATTGAAAAGATGTGAGATAAACATAGAACTCAGGTTTCTAGATAGCCAAGTAAATTGAACTGGTATTTTGGCTGGTATTCATGTCAATGCATGTTTGTAAACTGTAACAAAGTCTTGATATGAAATGAGATTGTTACTAATGGACCACATAAGATTGTTACTAATGGACCACATAAATCCTGGAAGCTGCATCTCATTCTCAAGAAGTGGCCATGGTATCATGATTTAACAATATCAGCTAAAGTACTTACAGTAAATGGACCAAGGTAAGCGATATAAGCTGATGATATGAGAACATCACCAACAATATTATCAACAATCTTCTCCAAACTATCTACTGATACTTTCCATCTGGTCTTCTCATCAGCTAAACCACCAATCAACTACAATGGAATAAAGCTTTCTTAAATACTTTGTCATATAAAGAAAACTAACATGTACCTATCTAAATCAGCCAACAAAATCAATGAAATAGGCAGGAAATGAGCCCAATAGCTGTCCTAGGTCATTCAAGGTTGATGAATCCATGGAAAGGCCCACCAAGGAAGCATCTGAAGTCAATAAATCTCCAACAGTGTCAATAAATAATTACCTGATCTGCTCTTCCTAATCTTGCTTCACATTGTTCACATTTATTTTCTAATTCTTCCTTCTTCCTTACACAATCTTCATATTTAGCTTGTAATGTAGCTATACCTTCTTCTACTTCTTGTAATCTTCCTTTAGCTTCATCCAACATTCTTTGTGTTTCTTCTAAATCAGCAGTAGCTATTCTCAATTTCTCACGTTTGGGTGCTACACCTTTAGCTATGAAATGATACTTGTGCATAGCTCTTACCCATTGACAGATAGATGTACAAGCCTTAGATACCTAGAATAAAAAAAAATATGGAATGTAGAGAAATTTGTAGTTGTGAAGACAATAATTGTTCATTTGCTGCATTTTGGATAGATTTGATCAACACTTCATTCAATAATAATATGATTTAATGTATTTTTGATGTAACTAATTTGCATACCTTAGCAATATTTTCTGGAGTAAAGGATTCATCATCAATATAAGGTTGAATCCTCTTTATAACATCATCTGGTATATTATCTTTATCATATTTAAACAGGGATTCTAAGAATTTGATAGGATCTTGAATGGCTGCTTTACCTACATCCCAGTAATCATCTATCTTTTGTCCAGGCTGAAAACAGAGTATTATAGAGTAGGTTAAACAATGGTTCAGTACTACCATTCTTTTAAAACAAAAACAATAAGCGTATTCTGGGACATAGATTATGAAATGAACCCCATTTATAAACCAATTCATAAGGACACAATAGATAAATGAAAACTGAAATCCATTTTTTGAGATGTCTAGTGATTTCCCCACTTTCCCTATATTCAATTCAGACTTTGTTAAAAGATTTATATAATCAATACATACCTTTTCTCCTGCAATTTTCTTGGGTTTGATTCCCTTCATAATACAAGCAGCTTCAATGACCAACCTTACACCCTCTGGTGGTCTCTGTAGAGCTCTTACTTCTACAATATCATTCTTATTCAGTGATTTCAAACTTGTCAAAGCAGCATCCTAGTGAATAAAGTGATTTTAAGAAAGATTACTCAAGACGATACAATATACTGAATTCCAAATGCCATAGTATCCTATATAAGGGTTTGACAAGTTCAGTACATCATAAATAGATAGGAAAATTAGAATATATGGCTTAAACTTACAAGAGCAGGTAAAGCCTCATTTAGATCTTTCTGTGCATCATCAGCTATAGTTTTTGTCTCTGTTGCTTTGATAGTAGCAGCTTGCTCTTCTTTCTGAACTATAGCTTTTGTTTCCTCTGCTACAGCCTAAATATTAAAATACCACATTAGCTATTTAAGGATATAAAAGTTACAAGTTTTTATATACCTTAGTCAATTCTACTGATGAATATCTAGACTAGTGAGAATAGTAAATGACTCTAAGATCACATTTCTTTCTTTGTTTCTTGTTTAATTATCAAAAACCACTTACAGTATCAACCGATATTTTCTCCATAGTACTAACAGATTCTTTAACAGCCTCCTCCAATAGAGGTCTCATAGTAGCTAATTCTTCTTGTAATTTAGCTACTTCATCAGCTGTTGTTAGCAACTGAAAATAACCAAGGAATAGTGTTAAAGATAAAACGCTTGTTTGAAACTGGTCAGGTTTTGCTGAAAGGATGAATCAAACCACACTAAAAACGTTTGCCACTACATTAGTAGAAGAAAAAGAACCAGAGTAATATAAAGTAATATGGAAATGGTTGTAAAGTGGAATTACCTTGTCGAGACCAGTCTTAAGTCTGTTTCTAGCCATCTTCAACTCAGATTTCTTCATTCCAACAAGCTTAGAGAATATTCCTAACAATTCTAAATAACTTGTTGGGGTCACATAGTTATGACGTGATAATTCAGCCAAAAATTTATCAGAATTTTTGGCTACTGACATATGAACAGCTTGACACATGCTGACCTGAAAAAATTAGATTAATAGAATTATCCAATTGTAAGTGTTAAAAAGATGTGTGGATCTATTGGATTTTGTATTGACTAATAACACATTAACCTTGTTTTCTACACACCTCAACCAAGCTGTAATGAATCTTTTAATGTTTAAGACAAAATAAGCTAAAATATCTAATGTTCTGTATTTGACCTCAAAACTGGATATTGGCAACTACTTACCAAACCATTCAAAACTTCATCTGAAGCATCTAAGTCAGTGATATCATTGAGGAATCGCATAGCTACAGATTGTAAAGCATCAGCAGGCCATTCGCTAAACCAATCTATAGTACAGCAGTTTACTAAGGCTGGAAACTGTCTTAATCTGGCTCGGAAAACTTCTCCAATGGGACTGAAAATAGAACATATATTACATATTTTTTGAATTGTCAGAATATATCTTATATATTATGCCCTTTAACCAGATGGAAATCATCAAAGTTTTGTAATCCTCAGGGCTATTTGACAAAGTATCAAACTGACTTCAATTTCACGATTTTCAGTAATCAAAGATATAATTTCTAGGAGCAAACATAAGATCAAATTCAGTGTTGCCTGAGGTATCCAATCTTTGTACATTTGGTCTTAGAAAGTACATAAATTACCTCATAGTGATAACAGTATGTAGGTTACTCTTTACACGTTTGGTGTAAGCTGAGAATAAATTAGTTTTTGTAGCTTGTAAACCAGCATCCTGGACAATAGGTTTCATAGCAGTATATATCTGATCTAACTCATCAAACCCATATATATTTGGTACATCACCAGAGTTCAATATATTATTGATATCTTCTAGGAAAGAATCATCTTTTATCTAAAAAAGCAAAATAAATATGCAGCCATGAACTAACTTTTTAGTTAGTTTTTCAAACAGTCAATATAGAGTACAGCGGAACTATTTGAAATTTTGATCTTTCAGAACATATCAATGTGATATATGATATATATCAAATATATTCTTTGACTATGTACTTGATATAAAGACTACAGGGTGTATAATTGACTATTGAGAGATTATACCTGTGTGTCACTGAATAAGAAGACCATTGGTTTACTTTCTAAACCAGCTTTCATCATAACATTCTTCAGATCTTCTCTCCATTCTGCTACACCATAGTTCTTCGATAATTCAATTTGGAAACAATCAAACTCAGACCTGAATATAATAGATATGAATCCAGCTATAAATTAGGGTCAATGACTTTTTTCTCAATGTATACAGATTGTTTCAAAAATATGTATACACATTAAGAATAAAGACAGTAGGCATGTCTTTTCTTAGTAGTCATAAAGATCCAGCTCTAACAAGCTATCCATGGTCCTAGAAAATAGAACTTTTCTACTTACATGTGAGCAGCTAATCTGGTTAAACTCTGTCTTCCACTACCTCCCATACCTAACAGTAGAGCATTACCTAATGGTTGTCTAATAACTCGACTGATACGACAGATATGTTTTACAGCATCCATAAATAATACTAGTTTCATCTGAGCTGTATTAATCTGATTATAATCTTCAAGATAATCATCTAATACTTTTACTAGCTGGAAATAAATGAAAATAATATTTATTAACATAATCATCTTTCCTGTAACCTGCAATATTTCTATGAATAGTCTTGCTATTTCTTGCAACATGACTGATATAGTTTAAAAGTTTAAAATTGTATAACAGGTTATTTCCAAAATGCAAAACATTGAGAAATGCCATTGGAATGAATTCCTTTTCATTATTTTTAAAGATAATTTTGCCAGAACTCTAGAAAAGCCACAAGCTGAAAATACATAGATAATTGACCAAAATTTGTCAATAATATACAAAAAATCCTACCTTTTCATGGTCATGAATTTCCAAGTAAGGTCTAAGATCTGATGAAGTCACCATAAAGTCACCATAAAGAACAGGTTCCTGTGTAACTACTTCTTCATAATTTACATCAAAATCACTCTTCATCTTCTCTTTCAATAAATTATCAAACCATACTCTATCTTCATCATTTACTAAACGATCTTGGAAAATACGACAATTTTCATGATACCATAATCTTAACAAGTCAGGTAATGCCTGAAAGAAGAAGACAGCATAAAGAAAATGTCAACAAAAAAGAAAATCAACTCTTCCTACAGTGATATCTCAAGGAGTAGTCTTTGTATTTATGTGAAAAATGTTTTTGGAGCAGTTGACTCACAGAAGTTCAGCAAAAGTCTAGCATAAAATGAACAAAAGAGGTTTGATCAAAACAAGCAAAATCAATGAACAGGTGGGCAAGAGAAATATCTTCAGAGTGGATACTCCTGAAAAAGCTAGTTAACCAAAACTGGCTGATAACATACCTCTGTTTTATTGGGATCTGCCATCAGAATGCCTTGGAATACTTTAGATAAATCACGTAGATTAAAGGTATAATGTGATTTAGCTGGTGTTGGTAATAGTTGTGTTGTTATAGTATTATATACTGATATACAAGTTGTTACCATCTTATCACAATATTCTCTTATATTACTGTTCTGACCTGTAATATCAAAATGAAATTATGAGCTACATGGACTCTGATGGGATGTCGACTTGATAAAGATAAACATTCTTAACTGCAAACATTGTGTGGCATCTTGATGATTTCTAAACACAGTTAACAAATAAAAGATTTAAAATAAATTTTCAATCAAAGTAAACCAAAGATCGAAGGAAATGAATTCAATGGAGATTATGGGAAGAATTTACGCAGCAAGAAGAAATGAGAAGGATGGATGCAGCTTAATATGTTATAACAAATCATTAGCCAAGGAAGCAGGAGCCAGGATAAAAAGGAAAGATTGAAGCATTAAGAATGAATCAAGATATAAATTGATAATTCTAATCTTAAATGAATGCAACATAGAGTTAATCTATGTTTAAACAGAATGCAATGATTGAAAAAAACAAGGACAATAACTGTGTCCCAGAAGATAGAAATATTTAGAGAATGAAATGAAACTTGGAATTAGGAGCCATTTAGAGGTAAAATAAAAATTAAATCTAAGCTCTGACTGAACTGAAGATTTAACAAATTACATTGTAATAGTTTTGGCTAGGCAATATATATGGGGAAAAAACATGACAAATTACCAGACTTATCCTTCTGATTTCCAGAATCTAATAAAAGTACAATATAAAATATTATATACTTTGTTTAACTTGTGCTCAATCATTTGCTCAAATTCTTCTTAAAAGATGACAGAATGCAAGTATTTGATTTTCAAGAGATAAGGAAATTCTTCCTGGTATGTTTAAACAGTCAAACAGCCAAACATATATTATTATACATTATCTGAAACGATTCATGACTGTTAAAAAATAAAGCTATAATTTTTCATCTACTTACCAATCCAGGATTTGAGAATGGCCCCAAATATAGTCTTTTTACTAGAGTCTTCCATCTCAGTAAATGTCAGGAAATTAAAGTGACGCAGTAATCGAGCTGTAACTGGATTTCTTCCTCCACCAGGTGGCCCCATAGAACATACAAAATTCACATCAACCAACTGACGGAATTCACCTATAAAACAACAACAAGATAATAAATAAGCATTGTTAAAACAATGATTAAAAAAGATTCTACAGGTAATCTATACCACAAAAATAGAAAAATATTTATTAAGGCAATGCCACAGTGCCAAGGAATGATCTAACTGCAATGACCTTTTGTACATAAACAAGATGCCAACCACTAGACTAAGATGAGCTTTTACAAAAAATCAATAGAACATACCAATAGCTTTTCTATCATACCATCCTTTAAAATCAGCCCACTGTCTTATCAATTCTATAGGTGGCTGGGCACCATAAACTTCCAGAGCTGGCATATTCAAATCATCAATAAAGAATATAAAATATTTTCCTAATGGTGGACCAAACACTCCTTTACGTCTGAAATAGAACAGAGATAAATAATATTAAAAACATGTTATTCATCTCCATTTCATTTTTTCTACTCTCTTTAGTGACTGAATTGTTGGCTTAACAGAAGAAAAACAGATTATGTCTTTAGGAACAATGGCTTTTCATGACTCAACTAATGGAATAGAAATCAAATGGATTTTAGCAGCATATTTTTCTGTCCAGTGTCTAAGTTTCTTCAATATGTACAGTTTGTATCAGACAACACTTCAGATAACTTACCTTTTATCAAGTTTACCATCAATAAGATCTTGTGTTTGATTAGCGCTAGTTTTAGCAGAGAAGACAATTAAATCAGGAATATATTCTTTAGGCATGTTTCTGGATAATTTATCTGATATAGTCAATGTTTTACCAGTACCAGTGGGACCAATACTTAAAACCTACAAACAAACAAAATTCTATATTCTTAACAGCTCTTTAAATTGATTTGGATTTCTTTTCTAAGTTTGGCTTTCAAACATGTCTTATCTGATTCACAACCAATGACAACTGTATCTCAGTTTATCATAGTGAAAGACTGGTCTAGATATGTTTTAACAATTATTGGAAAAATACATTCATCAAAAAGATCTCATTATACTATTTGAACATGCAAAGTGACCAGTTAACCAACAGACAGACCAACAGGTAAAAGAGGATCTACTTACTGTTTTCTTATTGCTAAGCAGTAACTCCAGTACATAAGCATTTCTAATAGTATCAATAGTAGGTACTATAATATCAGAATATTTCATTTCAGGACTGATAGAAAACTCTGGCTGTTGATAGAACCAACTTCTCCATTGCACCTGATGAATAACATAAAGATAAGTTTAGAACAATACACATTCCCCCTACTAAGAAGTAGGGCAGATTTTATTTGTGCAACATGTTTTTAGCATATTTTGTGACTCAAACCATATGAGAAATAAGGATAGACAAAACTTGAGTTAAAAAATATGATTACCTGTTTATTTTTGGCTTCATCATCTTCCTCATCACCTGATATATCACTAATACCAGCATCATCTAACATATAATCATACACTAATCCTTCTTCAGGGAAAGATAATTTCACCTACAACAGTCATATATTACCGTGGTTACTCAGTGGTGAGGAAGTTAACATTTACAAAGAGAATTTAAAACAAGTTAAATTGACCAGTTCAAAAAATTTCAAGCAAGGGCACTGATTTAAGAGTATTTTCTAATAAGACTACAGCTACAATCATACAGTGAAGTTAAATTGCATGCAACTTTATAGATTTTCTTTCACGTTTTCAGTTTTTTGATTAATGATATTAATGATTAATCCTTTCCCTATAATTCCCCCAGGAATTCTAAACTTACCTCATTTTCAGCCATTTTTTTACGTAACCAAACAGAGAACTTAGATCTGCTAGAGTTATCTCCTGTTGCCCCAATACTCCATACAAGTGAGAAGAAAAACCAAGGTTCAATAACCTCAGATATTCTTTCTAGTTTTTCTTCTGGTATTTGTTTTTCTCCCTAGAGAAGAAACAGTTCATTATACATTCTTTGTTATCATGTTCTAATTCGTAAGTATTTCTAATCACAATATAAGCTATAAGTTATTCATAGTTTGAATAAAATTGGGTTATTTATACACACAGTATTATAAGTAAATTACAGATTTTCAAATTCTTTCCAAACTTCAGTTCAAAAGAAAGGAAAGAAGCTAGTTGAGAAACAGAAGATTGCTATAAAAGTAGAAGCAGAAGAAAAATAAAGACAGATTGTAGAGACTACTTACTATAGCACCTTCATCAACAATGCCATCCTTTATAGATAGATAGGAAGAGATAGAAGAGAAAGAGAGAATTAGTAGTTAGTATTATTACATGTTAAACTTTAGCAGTTTAATGCAGGAAGGTAGCTTAAAATTATCTACATCATTCACTAGGAAAACAGACAGATAGCTATTGTTTAAAGGTTACAGGTTTAATATTTGTTAGTAGAAAAGGAGCATAGTATATCATTATGTAATTGTATGTTAAATATTTCAATGACATATCAAAAGCAGTTTTACATCAAGACACTGAAGTAATTGGATGATGAATAAATTGACTTAATGTCATTAAGGTCGTAGCAAACAAATATTGAAAGCATCTTTGAAGGCAAATGTTATCAAAAGGTAAAATGGTGGACAGACTTTGAGTAAAAATGACTACTGGTATGTATGTGTGCTATCAAAGGTTTGGGTGATAATAAGACTGTGTCTAAAGAATCACTATAAAGCTTAGGTTCAGTTCCTTCTACCAATCTAGCCTATATTACTATACTATATTTCTAATATCTATCTGATTCTTACCACACGACGTCTTGTCGCCTAATAAAACATAGCAGAAGATATATAAGCTTATACAAGTGACCAAAATAATCTGTGAATATATGTGCACATGCCAATCAATGGTGTTTCTTAGTGCAAAATCCATCAGTGGCACTAATCATTAATTTTTGTGTCATCCACACTAGTGATCTGGTATTTACCTTAAATAGCGGCTTGTAAAATCAAGATGATGTCTAAATAATTATTGAACATCATTGAAAGAATAACAATTTTGCTATTCAAAGGGGTAATAGTTTAGTGATTCAATAAACCAAATTGAAATTGAAAAGACATAGGAAACATTTTTTTCAATAACCTACCTCTTTGGGTATAAATGGAGTAAAGAAACATTCCACCATTTTTAATAAACTAAACGTTAAATTAGCATCCACTGTTCCTACTATTTCTTTTACGTTTTCTCTCACAAATTCTATAGAAGGCTAAAAATAGAATATGTTTACAAATGATTCATGTGAAGTTAATCAGATTTCTTCAACCATCCAGGAATGATTTGTCAGTTCATTTGATGTCCCCTTGCAACAGATTTTCAGAAAAATAAAGCAAACAAATTGAATACTATTCATTTTGCAAGTACTATCAGTCAGTTATAATTTTGATTTCAGCTGACCCTTTTAAAGTCACCTTCAGTCCCTTACAAATAGTTCACCGTTGACATACCTACCTCCAAATAAGTATCAAACAACGCTTTAAGTTGATCTTTATACTGGTATAAATTATCGGGTAGTTTTCGTAGCCAACAATCCACAAACGGTTCTAAACCAATATAACTTGGTTCCAAATAAACCATACCACATCTACTAACAGTCGCTGGGGAAGCAACAGCCAAATCTGCCACTTCAAACATCATTGTCATATGCTGAAATTATGAAAATAGTTGTTGTTACAACATTCAACATTCAAGCGAAATGATAACTGTGATATTGACATTTTGATTCAGATTTAGAAAAACAGGACATTTGACAAGTATTCCCAAGATAAAAGGTTTTTGAAATCCCCTAAAATAATTGTGAACTTACGTCAGTCAATTTGATAATTTCACCAGAACTAAGACAGAGTTTTTTATTGTCGTCTAATACTGTATTCATATTCTCAATCCATACAGCATCTACTGGTCCATCAAAAACATACCATCTTTTATCTTCATCAGTAGCAGAACAACCACCTCGTATCAGAGTTGATAATATACCATCAGTCCTAGAATATGTTTCACATTAGTATTGGTGGACAAAATATATCTTAAAATGAAGCATGCTTAATATGCACATATTTTACAAGAATACAATCACAAAGACCATTCAGGGCTGGGTTCTGTTAGAAGAGATTTATACTGTTGTAGTAAGAAATCTCATTATGCTCAATAAAAATGCTTGTTAATGACATAGTTGATTCTCAATCCTTTTGAAATTTTTTTAGCAGTATGGATACTCAAGGACTCTCAAAGCTGAGGGAAAAAGAGAGGCTTACCATTCATGGGTTAAGGGATCAAATTCACCATATAACTGACCCATGGTGATAGATTTTGGGTTCAATACATACGAATGTACCATTTCAAATACTACACCAGCTGGTGACATCTGACCTTTCAAAGCTGACATGGCATGTTGCAGAACTTCGTAACACTGTAAAGAAAAGAAGTTTTTAACTTCAATTCAATTTAACACACTACTTAAATAATGGTACAACCATCTCTAATGCAATTTAAATAAATTGTAAAGATGTTTCTTATATTATGTATCTGGGACACTGAAAGCATCAAATTGCACCATTCTAATTTTTAGACAGACATCTGGTTTTTTAACTAAACCTTAGAATTTGATGACCTTTACGATATTAAAATAAGTTAAGTTAACGAAACTAACCTTAGTTTTACCAGAGGCTGTAGGTCCTACCAACATAAGACCATGTCTTACAACAGTTGTTTCATATAACTGAATACATTTCTTAATAAATCCTGAAAAAAATCATGCTTCATGATTAGTCAAATTATCATACAGCCTGGGATTGAATTGTAAGTTATATAATACAAAGTAAGATGGTGATCAGACAAGGAAAATAACTTACCAGGTACATCTTGTATACCAAGTTTAGTACATGTTTTACGTAGTGAGGTATCTAATGCTCCATAATCTATAGCTTCTTCTCTACAATTATTATCATTACAACATTAATCATTCTAAATTTGATTAGCTAATACACACTGTTCAATTGCTTGTATTTTTCAGTTAGGCAGATTTCAACTTTCTCTATCAGCTGCCTGCTATCTGAATCTATTTTAAAGCAAGCATGTAGTTGACGTGAGCCTACAGGATTCGGACTGTATTGCTAGCCAGGTGGGCATGCTCAACCATCTTGAAGACCTGATCCCACTCAGCAAATGAATTAACAAATAATTTCAATTAAAGTATGAACTTACTTTATAGAAGGGAAGAGATCAGACACAATACCATTGAATAATTTCAAATCATCAATCAAAAACTTGGGTACATTTACATCTCTAATAGCACGTAGAGCTATCAATTCCTGCAAGAATAGAGAAAATTTGTAACATTTTAAGTATTCCATAGCTTTATCATATTATCTGCATTGCACATTATAGTACATATTGCAATATATCATGCTTATGGCATAGACTGATACTAGAACTTACCTCATTCATATCAGCATACTGTCTCTTTAAGTTACCAGCAGCAGATATAACTGATTTTACAGCTCTCATACCAAAATCATAATGATCCTAAAATATTACACAGGAAGATTATTAGAACATTTCTCATTCTATATGAAGTTTTTCTGAACATTCAAGTAAAGGTCCTTGTTTTTATCACTTATTGCTACCTTCATGTGATTTAATACTTAAAGCGAAGTGGCCATTATGCTTTAGTTTTTAGGATAATTATTGTTGATTATATTAAAACCTTTCTTAAAGTTTGTCAGTTGATTGTTAAAGTAAGTACTCACCTGAGAACTCAACTGTTCTGATGATAATTTAAATGTTGTCACAATCTTTTTAGCCAATTTCTTGGCATCAGAGAATCCAAAAGAGAATAAACTGATTTCAGCAATCAGAGCATAATCTGGTACCATCATAGCTACTGGACGGAACAATGCCTGTGTATAAAAAAAAAAAACTTCAGAAATGAATTTTCAGAAATCCGACAATTTAAAACAATTAACAACAAACTTGGTCAGAATCTAATGACAACCTGCTTAGCGCCAAGGAAGAAAGGAATGCTATTCCAGCAAAACATTACGTTTCACTTTTTCGGCTTTTCCCCTTATTTCAATCTAATACTGTAATGATAAACAAATGTACCTTAAGATTATCAGGAAGTTCTGTACGACCAGCATAACCTGGGTTCATAGTAATAAATACAGCACAAGATGCTTTTAGATTTAATTCTACACCTTCAAATATAAATCTATCAACCTACAAGTTAGACAGTTCAATATTATCAATACCAATAAATATAATAAACTAACAAATATCTTCCTACATTTTCATGCCTTTAATATTATCAAATATTCATTTTTGAGTTCTAAGCAGACATGTTCAGTCAAAAGAACAATGTAAGTCAGAGAAAATATAACAACATGTAATCTTTTCTAATATCATATATATACATGAAGTTCTACTAAAAAATTCTAATTATATATATAAAGATTTAAGAAAATGAAAATAAATGAAAGAACTAAAGAGCATACCCCTTCTAACATAGCTTTATTGATTGTCATAATCTGCATAGCTACTACAGATAATACTTCAATATCTATTCTATTAAATTCATCAAAACAAGCCCAGGCTCCAGTACTACAGAGAGAGGTAGAGAAAGGATAATAAATAGAGTATGTAAAGGGTAGATACAATATCTTCATAATATCAAATTCTCTCTTGTTACATTTGACAATTTAAGAAATTAATGGACGTCTCCATATTTCTGAGCATGTGCAAGAAAAGATGACATTTCAGGTCAATGGTCAGTTTTAATTTTTTAAAGCTTAAGTTAAAACAAATCATCGACTGAGATTTTGATATTATAAAGATGGGGAGTAACGGAATATATGATATAAAGGTTACAGACTACAAAAGGAAATTGCAAAGAAACACCATTTTACAATTTAAATAATACTAAACTATAGGAAATATATATCTAAATATAGAAAAGGTATGTATACATAATGGAAAATATTGGATAGTTGAGTACACCATTCCTAAAAATTATTATTGTAATGATTTGAGGAAAAAAAAAGCTGTAAAAGTAAAGCTATAATGAATAAAACTAATGGAGACCATAACCACAGGGACTATAACAGTACTACATGAAATATATGAGTATATGAAATATATGAGTAACGGTATATAGAAAATTGGGTATAGACAGTTGACTAGACTACAAGACTACAGTCATCTCTCACCCTCTGTTGTTGGGCTTTTTGTATAGTTGTAATTTGTTGGGCTACGACTGATAATACTTCAATGTCAATACGATTAAATTCATCAAAACAAGCCCAAGCTCCAGAACTATAATGGGAATAGATATCACATCAAAATCCAAAGCTACACATTTATTGAAACAAGATTTAAAGAGATTTAAAGATAGCAATTGATTTTCAATTGGCATCATTTCTCTATCAACCTAAATTCTCCAGATATAATATATTTTATGCATAAAAGCTTACCTTGCCAAACCTTTCAAGAATTTTCCCATGGCCATAAAATCAAGCTGATCGGAACAGTTAAATACAACACACTGGATAGCCATAGCTTTAGCTAAATCCTACAGATAATATAACAAATACATCATTGATATATGGAGATTTGCTAGTGTGATATCAGTGGTAGATCATTAACTATATTCATAAGGTCTGCATCCAGATCAGATACAATTAGAGTGATGTGTGTAGTAAATCATTTATTAACTTTAATAAAGAACATTTATGATAGTTTTTTTTTAGATGCATATCAGTTCATTTCATTTGCATCTCTCATATTTAGAAAATTTTATTTGTATAAATCAATTTAAAGCTATATATCAACAATTTAGTATCCGTTCACTAATGTAATGAGGTGAGTGTCATCTTGAAATAGGTTAAATGATGATGGCAAGACAAGAAAGACAAACCTTAGTAGTCTCTGTTTTACCAGTACCAGCAGGTCCAGCTGGGGCTCCTCCAAACTTGAGATGTAGAGCACCAGTGAGTGTTAAATAACACCTATCAGTTAATGGTGTTATAACCAATCTACTTGTGTTACCAAGATATTCATAACCATACATAAACTGGGCGTTTACAGCTCTTGTGTATAGATTCTCATCTTCTAACCAATAATATCTATCAGAAAAAAAATTGAAAATAAGATATCTCTGACATTTAAAAATCTTTTAACCTTATAATGAAATGAAATTAAAAGGACCTATCTAGTCTTCACCATACTGGAATGAAACTGCAGTGTGTAATGAGTGAAATTTCTTCATCACAGTACTTTTTTTCTCTTTCCAATCAAAGTGATGTTCATACAAGTTGCATGTTACAACATAAATCTAAGCTATACAGTTACTGAATTCAAAATGTCTGTTACCTCAATTGACTAATCCACTCAAAATCATTCGCTCCACTAACATTTTCAGCTACCATCTTAGCTATAACATCTCTAGCATGGACTTCTATTACAATCAAAGCTGATAATGTCATTCTACCAATACGACTAATATCTTGTCTTACAAGCTCTCTTAAATCATCAAGTTGAGATAGTAATACAGTAAATAACTCCTTTAATACACCTTTCTCTAGAGCTTCTGTTACTTCAGCACTCCAATGAGTCTGACAACCAGCAATTACAACTTGACCTGGCCAATTTAATACCCATTCTGTTCTTGGTATCTATACATAGAACAATAAGATTAGCTATATCATCATATTGTGGTCTGGATCAGTTCCTACAACAAGACCTACTTTCTAGTCAGATGGAGTTGCTTGCCCTTGCTGTCCTTTGACATGAAATTTCTCATGAAGATTGCCTTGAGAGACATGATTAAATAAAGATCTAACTGAATCCTTGTTCATGTTTGGAACCACCCCCAACAGCAAAATATGTTCAACTGATTAACTTTTACCAATCTTATCTTGTCAGACATATTAGACTTGCGTTACTGACAATGGCCAACTAGGTCGTAGATATCAGCTCGGTTTACAAGTAGAATGTGCCATAAGCTTACCAATTAATGATGTTAAACAAATAATTAACTTACCTCTTTATAGTTTACCAATGCCTCTTTTATAATCAGACGTAAACTCTCTCTCATAACACGTTCAATCTCTAACATCCAGTCCTCAACGTTACCAGTAGGATACATAGTCTGACGGAAATCAACATCCTCTCCTTCACCAGAATACATCTTAGTAATCTTCAGATCATCTTCAAATTTCAACTGGAAGACGACATTTCATAAATTTGTGAAAAGAAATCACAGTTGAACATTGCAATCATTTAGTATAAGTATATCAATACTTACAAAACTTCGACTGTGTTAAAAATATTTTTTTAAAACAACATACCTTAGCAATATTTTCAAAACATTTCTTAAGATGAGGTTGAACAGCTGTAGGATCTTTAGTCTGGGACAATATCTCCAATAATTCATCATCAGACAGGAAGTAGAATCGTGGGAAGGAGTTACGTTTGGTCTCCAGGTATTCACTAAGACCTTTCTGTACTTGTTCTAACAGTTTGTTACATTCTCGCAGGTTATCTAGTAGTCTGTTGTCAGGACATAGAGATATCACCTATAAATATAATATACAAAATATTTACTCAATTAGACTGATACTATTAAGTATCAGTGTACATTTTTGTAAATAATACTGTTACAAATATTGAAAACATTTATGATAATGAGTCCAATATTTACTGAACTATGGATTATTTTGGACAATTGTTTATCAGATTGAAAGTTTATATTATCATCAAAGATATGTTTTTAACCTAAATTCCACAATTCTCTTATTTTCACTAGTTAGTTTTTTTGTGGTAGTTACCTGAGGATTCTCTTTAGCTGTCTTCATGATCTTTCTCCAGATTCTCTCCATGGTTTGATATCTTTTACTTTCTACAGGTAATTGTCTGTTAATATCTTCAGAACTAAAGATAGGTTCTAGATATAACCAGGCTCTCTGACATTGTAACCATTCATCTAATACATCCTGTTATAAAATAAACAATATTCAAATAAATCATAAGATATACTAGTATTGTTGATCTAACATCATTCAGTCCATGGATGTCAAATATATCAATATTGGCATGCCTAATATGTACAAAAATCAAAAATACATCTGTGGATACCACATTCAGCTTTAAAAAAGAGAATTATTTCAATGATGTGTTCGAGCTGCAACAATTGTATAATAAAGATTCATGAATCAAAATATTTTCATTACCTGAGTTGTTCTAAGTTTACTCTCCCAACTACTTATTCTCTCTTCAAATGGTTTTTTATAGGGTGAGAATGACATGGACTGAGTCATTACAATATGATCATCTAATAATTGAGACGTATCTTCTGAACTTCGTAAAATATAAGTACCAGTATCTTTATATGGCATGATTTCAAATGAAACTGGTTCCCATTCTTTCTCCATTTTATCCAAGGCCTGTAAGGTAACAATACAAAATATTTGCATTTCATGAAATATTTTGGATAAAGAAACTGCATCCTGCAATTTAGTGCAGTGACAGTGAATATCCAATGACTGGTTCTAGCGTGATTACATTTCAGATTTGAGGCATTTCAAACAAATCATTTGAAAGTGTATGGATACTTATGACTTATCAAGGAATTCTGAAAATGACACATAACTTTAAGGAATCTACTTACATTTTCAATGGAGTATTCCTTCCCAGCCACTTCTGCTACTTTAGCTATAACTGTAATATGGTCCTGTAGTTTCATCTCTAGACATTTTGAGAAGGTCAGATTAGCTTTAGGTCGTACAGGGAATCCTAGATCATCAGATAACTGGAAAAAGAAAGCAAACAATACATGGCCATTCAATTATTGCTAGGGTTAATTACTCTCAAACAGTTTAAATATTTTCCAGACTAAAGCCATAAGATAATACTTGAATGTGTCTACTCGATATTCAGGGTGAGAATTAACATTAATTTGACTCTTTGAAGGTCAAAAAAAGAATTTTACTCAAAAGTTTGAAAGAACAACTTAGCAACATTACAAAAGCATATGTATCAGGAGCCCAGAAATATGAATATGTGAAATATGAAAAGAAATTTGAGTTATAAGTTACCTGTTCCCAATGTCTATTTCTCATACCAGGATTACGTAAACCTTGTATCAATGGTATAAATGGTTTAAATTCTTCTATAGCTTGTTTAATCTCTGTTGGTACCAACTGTACACCTGTAGGAGAGAGGAGCAAGAGAAACATATGCTAATTACTTAATTTTGAGAATGGATAAGTCAGAATAATTTGTTTAAGTAGTTGCCGCAATATGCTTAATCTTTTAATAATCTTAATTGTTACTAATATTCAAAATACACAGTTTCACAGCTTCACATTAGCAATTTAATGTCCAGTGATCCCCTTGAACTTGAATCAATGACAAAAATAAAAACACCAGGATTGAAAATCCGAACATAGCATCTTGTCAACAACTTTAGCTTAAATTCCTCATCTCCTGTTTAACGTTGAAGTGAAAAACTATACATACTTGGAATATCTTGAAATATCTTGACTGATTTATGAACTGTTTTATAAGCTTCATTTACATTCTTCTCTACTTCTTCAGCATTAATGGCAGTCAATGGATCATTCATCCAGCTTTCATGCCATTTTTGCCAATCAGCAACAGTAAGCCAAAGATTTCGGAAAGGCTCGAAATCCTTCGCAAGTCTTGACAGTTTATCATACTATAATAACAAAATATACGACCATCCTCTAGATTATAAAGCGTGCAAACATCTAATAATGAAAAAGTTAAATCAAATAAAAGTAAAAATAAGCATAAATGATACAAATTGTGCCACACTGATTCAATTCTATACTTAAATTAACTACAGTACATAGATACCTAGTTGGATTGTGTTCACATCATATTTACTATATACTTGGATGTATAATACACCATTTCCCCAAAAAATGACAAAAAAGTGTTCTGGTGGTAATTAGAATTGCAAGGTAGAAAATCAAATTGATAGTAGAATGTCTTTTAAAAAATCTGACAAGTATCATAGTCAATATTTCTCATTGTTTCTGAGGTAAAATTGATGTGAACATATCTCAAATAAAATAGTAAGAAAACAAAGAAGGTAAATATCTTTGATCCTGTAATAAGTATCTAGATCTATATCTAAAGACTCATGCTAAAGGTTGACACCCACTCAGTAAGTAACAAAACATGCATATTTCCCTTCCCACCTTCTAAAAGAGAAGAAAAATCTACTACAATAGTTACTAGATCATGCAAAATATTCTACAAATAAGATAAAAAATAAACACACACAAAGCTGCTCAAAAAAAAGGCCCACAACAGTGTCCCACCTCCCTCCCCTTACAATATCACAATATTTCTATTTCTATATAAAGCAGTGCTCAACTAAAACTAAAGTCGTGTAAGTGAGGATTCCACTTTGTTGCTATCAATATGATAATTTGGCAAACTTGACAAGCATTTTCAAGTCAGAAATTACATCAGAAATCTTTAGTATCCTGTTTATCAATTCCAAGTCACCAAACATTGGAATCAACCATTTCTAAAACTCCAACATGCTGAAATACTGACTTAAATACAGGTTATTTACAAAGTCTAATTATCAATTCCAGTCTTATTAAAGGGATACAGCTATCTAATATTTGATTAAACAGCTGGAACACTGAAATTTAGCTGGTCGAGCAAATATTTAGATAGACGACTACATCCCTCTATAAGATTCAATCTTCAATGAACATGCAAAGATATAGTATTGATCAAGGCTTACATTAGTAGTAGGCATTCCAAACAATCTCTCTCTATTATTGTAAGTAGATGCTAGACCCTGGGCCTCCTTCAGTTGTTTATGAACTCGTCTGACTTCATTGGCAACTTCTTGTGCCTTTGATACATCAGTGTAAGCAGCCATACCAGCTACAACCATCTGTAATCGAAAAAGAATTATTCAAACATTAAGTATATATATGTAAATATATATGTTAGTAAATGCATGACTGTTGAACTTTAATCAAACTAATTGCGTGTGATATTAATTAAGATTTCTTATATATACCACCTTTCAGCTTACTATGTAATATTCAGTAAAGAGAGGTGCACTCATACAGTTACAGATATTCAGACAATTTGCAAATCCTGTAATAAGTAATATTAGGTACAAGCTTTCACAAAATCTAATGTTTGAAGGATTTGAGTTGATGAACAGGAACAATTTATCTGGTAACTAAATAAACCATACTTTGTTACTATGTCCATAGATTGATTCCATTATAAGACTTGACATTACCTGAAGATTGTCCATTCTATCTTCAAAGTTAGTTTGATCAGAACTTTGTAATTTACGGAATCTTTCTTCATCAGCCTCCAACTGTATCAGAGTCTGCTGCATTTGATTCTCTATTTTATGTGGCCATCCTATTGTTGTCCACCTTTTAATAAACCACATAAATATTCAATAAACAGACATGAATTGAGGACACCAGAATAGCGTGCAGTTAAAAATTTCAGCTTCTTATTGTCATAGTGTATCTATTTCTATTGTCTTCATTTTTTCAAAGCAAAGCCAAAACAAGTATTATTGACCATAAATTGTTACTTTTTTGACGAATTTACCATCTTTATACACAAAATTAACCTAAACCTAATATACTAATTAATGAATGTGAATTTTCATTGAAATGGTTTTAGAAATTTTTGACATTGTAATATTGCTGAGTAAGCTTATACATCATCCAGAACATGATTTAATCTCTTACTTAGCATTGAAGTCATCAGTAGGTAAATTATAATAGAATTCTTCAATCAATTCATAATCACTCATAGCTTTATCAATTAATTCTTGATGATCTTTAAGTTTTTCTGGAATATCTTTCATCCATTCTCTGATCTCTGATAATTCTTCTATACAATTAGGTTTCTCATACAGTTTCCTACTGATAGACTTAAATTCTTCACAAGCCTAGAAGAAAAAACATTTGTGGAGAAATTTGTTTTTTTATTAGATAATTTTGGCAATGTCACCATAATGAATACAAAGAATTTCACATAGTTTGTCACTAGATAAAGCGCATGCACAAATATATATATATTTTTTTACATCTTTGCCATTTACTGACATGTTACTTGCTTTTCGTCCGACACAGTTGCTTGCCCTTGCCGCCATGTGACAAGAAGTAGGATTGCCTTCAAGAACATGAATGAATGGCAAGTTTTTTTGGAAAATACCGAGCCTTCATCCATGATTTTAAACCTCCATTCATCATTAGATTGTTAAATAGTTTTATTCAGTTTGAACGAGGGTGGTATATCCTAAATACACCTTGCCTACAAGCTCAATTAATTGAGTTTGTTAACAATGCAATAAATAAATGCATTAGATTACTTACATCATCAGCTTGTTTACGAAGTTGTCTAGCCAATAACTCTAGAACAGCATTACCTAGAGCTTTACGTTTCTTAGCTAATGCTTGTCTGATAGTATCTGTATTAATTTCAAATGGTCCAATAGTAATACGACTGGGTAGTGTTTGTTCTATTACTTCTTTCTCAGCTAGATGCATCTCAACTTCACTCTTAACTTCAGCTGCTGAGTGGTTCTGAGCTTCATACGTCCTTGAAAATATATATTCCTCTATCACTCAATTCATCAAGTCATTCAAATATATATCGACAAAGCATTATTTACTGTGTGGACTGTCCCAGATGATTCAAAATATTTTAGTCACATACGTTTTTATCAAATCACTAATGGTGCAAGGAAAAAACAAGTAAATTTTGTACAGAACATACAATGCACATTTGATATGAAATTATGCTGAAAGGGGAAAAATGACAAAATAAATTCACTCCAAAAAACACTCACTTGATATATTGTGGTATATCCATGTTGAACAATTCTAGATATTTATCATATTCTCTAGCATATGCTTTCATTGGTATCAAAGCTTGTTTAATAGCTAATCTTACAGTATGTCTTAAATCTTCTATAGGTGGTTCATGTTCTCCTACTGACTCTAATAATGGTGTACCAGACCAGAATATATCTTCTAATATATACTAAATAAATAAACAATATCATTATTCATCTTTTAGTTGAAAGTAATTTGTTGATGTATTGACCCTTTAAGCATATCTTAATTTCAGGATACTCAAAAACTGCTTTTATGTAAAAATGGTTTACTAAAAGTATCAAATACCAAGGTCAAGGACCAAAAATTTCGAAACCCTAAAAGACATGACTGGCAGGTATGGTCGATTCCTCAGTCATTCCTTGCAATCTACTAATGGTATTGGATCAGTTATGAAAGACATTATATCAAGACTTTTGGTTAAGATTTATTCCTGAAGTCAACATAGATTTAACATAAACTGACCTTTTCTAGTTGAGGTACATTCTGTGTTGATAAAATACCCTTATCAAATAAACCTACTAATGTTGATTCAAATGAATTGAGATTGGTACTGTAATGAACGCCTTCAGGATCCATTGTTAAATCAACTAAAAACAAGGCATTTCTCTTCGGTCTGAAAATAAAAACATTAACATAAGTTGAGGCAAGTAAAATCAAAACTTGAGACATTAAATATATTCAAGAGAATTGTTTGCTGTTTTAACATTCTTATATTTCACTTTCTTGTGTGTTATTTCACACCTACTAGGATCTAAAAACATTCTAACAAACATCAAATTCAACCTATCAAGTTATGCTCTATTGACCAGATCACTTTTTCACATCATTGAAATTTTTAATGAATTTTTTCCAGTAATTATTTTATTACCTATAGTTGCTTTTCATTACTTCATTTCCCCAGACAAATTCCTCACTTAGCTCCAGTGTAGAATGACAGGCATCAACCACCATTTGGGTGAAGTTTTGAACTGAGTCTTGAACTAAGAATCTCAGAGTATCTTGCATAATAAATTTGACCATCTCCATAAATTTCTTGAGTTTAGATATTTGATAAACTTCCCAGTTAGTTTCATGGATGTTAAACCAGCCTTTAACTACATCACGTAGAGCTGTTCTGATATGGTTTCTCAAATTGGTAATCCAACTATCTTTTAAAAATAGTGAAACCTGAAATGAAATATATCTATATTCAAAGCCTCTTGAAAACAGATGCAGTTCAGGCTAAAATTAAACAATGAATTATAACACCAGTCTGGAAAGGCAGGGGGACATTGACACCTAAAAAATTGTTCAGACATTTGTTCAAAATAGCATATATTCATACAATTAAAACCAACTAGTGTATTTAGTCTGACATGCATCTTCAATTCAATGTTACAAATATCCTAATGTATTCCATAGTCATTATTTTTAAAGCAAAGAAATACAATTACCTGTGATGTAGCCTGAGATTGAGTCTGTTCAAATTCTTCCAGTCTCATAGCTTTAGCAGTAGGTATATGAAACAGAGACATTCCTGCTACCTTATTACAATCAGTTCTAACTCTTTCTGTAGCTTGTATACTCTCTTCTCTAGTTAATATTGAATTAAAAGCAAAACTATCATATTGTTCATCAAAGGTATAGACTGGAACATCCATACAACATGCTGAAATGAAGAAATATTAAACATTTATCATCAGGAGAAACGACAACTTGGCCAGTATCCTATCTTTGACGAAATAAACTCATCTAATATTTAAGACTGCTATTTCAAAACAATCTTACCTTTCAGAGGAATATCTGCTGGTACAGGATCAGGTACACGAACAAAAGCAAATGTATCTGGATCTTGTTCAATGGTTTGTTCAAATATAATTCTATTCATAGATCTACAGAAATCTATATTTACTTCTTTTTCTAGGATCTGGATATAATCTTCAATACTGAAAATAATTTAGATGTCAATAAATTCGTGGATATGATGAAGTTTTGAGTAAATCTTCAATTAGGCATGGAAATATCAAAGATTAGTTAAATCAAAATATATCACGAAATTGTCAGTTATTGGCAAACTTGTATGAATAAAATGCAAACGCTTACTTTTTGTCCTTAGATAAGCCAGGTGAACCTTTTGCCCATTCTATCATTCTCTTTAAAGATGCTTGATCTAATTCACCAACACCATCCATAGGCATACAATCAATATACAGATTATATCTTAATTCAGATTCACACATTCTTCTCAATTCAAATGCATTAGCTACACGTCTAGCAAATAATCTTGGGTCTTCAGCAGTGAACATCATTCTTATTCTAGGTATCCAATATTGACTTGGGCTGGGCACCATTTCTCCTAAAATACAAATAAAAATCTACATCCTGTACAAATTTCCAAAAGAATCATCATTTATACAACTGTAGTTGTAGTTGTACATAAAATTGGCATCACAGTTATGTATTTTAATTTGTAGATACTGATTATCAAAAATCAAGAATAATTATTATTTTTGGAAGCAAAATCCATACCGTTTTCATCACTCTCAACAATAACACGTCCATCTTGATCTAGTTTCTGTACCAGGTATTGTTTACTCTTCTCATGATAATCTAGAACACCAACTTGAAACCAATCATAAACAATATCAGGATCTGTTGGATCTTCTGAAATAGAAAACAATTCATGTAAAAAAAAAACTCAACATTTTCACATATTCTTCTCCATTATTTCAAACGATTTTTCCTAGTTCATTGTTGCTACAAAATAGTAGACAAACTAAATCAACTTCATGACAAAATATTCACATTGAACAAGGCCTTGTCAACCTTCATAAGTTGAACAACAGACTGAACAATGTAAAACAATGTTTCAATATATCTAAAATATAAGAGCTGATTAAGTTTTTTCATAATTCAAAGAAACCTTACTCTCAGCATCAGAATCTTCTGATGGCAATAAAGCCTTTCCAGGAACTGGTTTACGAGTTCCATTGGTCTGACCCAGTTTAATCCATTCTTCAGGTGTACGACAGTCATATTCTTCATCATCAAAAATATGTAGAGGTAAATACGGTGGGAATGGTGCAGGATTTTCAAGATCTTCGTTTAAAATTACATTATTATTGACAATCTTCTTAGGCATCAATAATTCAGTTTTAATGTTGAATTCACCTAGTAAATCATCTAGGTCTAATTGAGCATAATGGCGTCTTCTCCTGTAACAAAAATATAACACCATACATTTATTTCGTATAATATTTTATCAAGTATAAGTCTGAAAAAAAACTATATATAATTTTAAGAACTTAGAAAGTTATATAAGGAGGAATAGTTGAAAATAAAAAAGTCAAAACATAAATATCAGAGCAGAAATATGTTTAAATTTTAAAGAGATTAAACATACCTTTCAATTTCAATTTTACGAGGGCAATCTCCAGGTTTAGTGTAGAATGGAAGCTGAACTTTAGGTTCAGATGAATGCAAGGAAAAATCCTATAATAAAGAAAATAACTTTATAGCACATGTTTTAACTGTCATCTTAACCAAATGATTCAAAGTTTTTTCCTTTATATGTGTTTTTTATCTGTTGAGCCCTGTTCAAAATATTTGCCCCATGCCATAATTTTATTTACTTCTGTTACAGTACTACTTCTTAACAATAATAATATAAATAAAAACATACAGTAATAGTCTTGAGTTCTGTAGTAGGACCATAAACATGTTCATCTAATTCTTTCTGTGCATCTTCTACGGTTGGGGCTTTAAATGAATTTACTGAAAGAAAAACAGGTTGTATGCAAGTGTAAAAGCCTCAAAAAAGATCGGTTTACATATCCGAGCAATGAAAATATGATCAAAATAACACATAGTGTGGATATATTACCTAAGGGTGTGTGTTTCTCTGTGGAAACATTCCATAATGTATTCTGTAGAGTTTCAGGTCCACTTAGAATATTCTGAAATGGAAATATAATTATTACACAAGCTGGAAAAAATCTAAGTATCTTTATGCATCATACAGAGAACTAGAATTAAGCTTACTACTGCCGGTATCAAAAGTCTATCACAAACATTCTATTATATGAATTTCTTGCTAAATTACGACAATTACAGATTAAACTTATACAACAAATAGATATAAGTTTCCTTGATAAGCAACAGTAGCCAATATAAAAAGTTTACCTGTAGATTTTCTGGTGGATCATCACTACTGATAATATCAGAATAATATCCTCTTTGTTTTATCACTGGATATACCTGACCCTGTCGACCAGTAGCTCTACTTATAGTACTCTCATTAGATCTGTTAGCAGAGAATGATCTGCTATGAGAACTTAGAGATGGTCTCTTAGACATCTTGGCAGTAAAATAACTAGAAGTAAAAGATATGTTGATATCAATGGCTATATTATATAAAAATAAAATTAAAAGTAGATCTAGTCTTAGTAATTATTAGGGCCTACTTCAACTTGTTTTTATTAGCACTAACTAGCGTTTACTATCTAAATCGTAACCAGACATGATATGTATGATGCCGATGGACGTGTGTAACTGGCAATGCTATTTTGTTCCACTCGCATGTAGTTTTGCAAGCTAAAAGTGAAGTTATAATACAGAGACCACGTCGATAGCAACACTGGAATCATTCTTGATAACTTCGAGCTTTTCTCGCTGCAAAACATGCAGATCTTTTCATTTATTCACACTAGGTCATTATCATATATTCCTACTTACCAATTAAAGATTCATTTTTATCTTGTATGGATAAATGTTCATTCATTTACTGTTATAAGATAAAATGACAAGTGATCCGCTAACTTTTACTGTTAGTTTACAATCCAATATGGAGGACTGTCATGACAACAAGGGTTAAAGGTTATGCCCCTTCTATCATTAAAAATATGTAAACAATAAATTGTAACAAGAAACGAAACATTACGATTTCAGTCATGGATTGATATTTGTAACAAATATTGATGTGGTGTTTTTATCATTCGAAAATAATGACATTTAAATTTTCACAAAAGTATCAGTTCCTGTTGAGTCACATGTTTGTTGTTTGACAATAATCTAGTCATTCTGAATCCGGTTGACATCTGTGACCGGTTTACTGCTTTATTTTACCTACCTGAGCTAATTAGAGATATGACATGAATTTCCTCTCTACATTTGCAAGTCAGCAACCCAATTTTCAGTGCATTGAGAAGGCTTGATTATTTTCAAGATCAGATTGACAAACCAGAGTATTTTATAACTCTTATCAATGTACAGATTAGAGAGAATTCTAAAACACATTCCATCAGCATTCATACAGGGTACCAAATCTTCAGCAAGAGCCATGTCTTCTGTTAATCATAAACCATCTACAGCTGGTATAATTGTTATTGGAGATGAAATACTAAAAGGACAAACAATTGATACAAATTCAACCTTTATTTGCCAACATTTATACACATGGGGTGTCCAGGTGAAAAAGATCTCTGTGGTTAGTGACGAGTTAGAAGAGATAGCGAAAGAAGTGAAAGAGTTTTCTGAAAAATATACCCATGTTGTTACCTCTGGTGGAGTAGGACCAACTCATGATGATTTGACATTTGAAGGTGTAGCAAAAGCATTTAATGAGAAGACCCTACCTCACCCAGACCTTGTCCAACTTATTAAACAATATTTTGGGACTGATGATTTACTATCACCGAAAATGAAAATGGCTTATGTTCCAGAGTCAGCTAAACTTCAATATGGTGAGAGTAAGATTAGTGGAAAGAGAACCAAATATCCAATGGTGTCAACACATAATGTTTACATGTTTCCAGGGATTCCATCTTTATTGGAAGGTGCCTTTGTTCTATTTGAGGACATTTTTCGTGATCCAAACGTGAAATTTTTCTCAAGAAGAATTTTTATTGATACAGATGAGATCACAGTTTCTAGTATTTTACAAGATAATTTCAATAAATATAAAGAAAGTGTCAGTTTAGGGTCATATCCTGATCTTCATAATTCCTACTTCAAAGTGAAACTTATTCTTGAGTCTCAAATTGAAGATAAATTAAATTCAGCTTGTGAAGAACTGAAATCAGCTCTACCTCAAGGCTCTGTGGTTAAATATGATGAAAATCCATTAATCGATGCAAATGAGAAAATCCATGAGTTATTGAAGTCGGAAAATGGTTCAGAATTTGCTAAAAAGTTGGAGAAATCTCTCCATACTATTGAGAAGGCTCTTGAACGTTACAGTTTTGATGAAATTTGTGTGGGTTTTAATGGTGGAAAGGATTGTACTGTCTTATTACATTTAGTTTATGCAGCTGTAAAACGAAAATATCCCTCAATAGACAAAAAGTTAAAATCACTTTATATCAGAAGTAAGCTACCATTTCCTGAAGTTGAAAAGTTTATTCAAATTGCTAGAGATAGATATAATCTAAATGAACTAATGTATTATGGTAGAATTAAAGATTGTATGGGAGAACTGAAAAATCAACATCCGGAAATCAAAGCTGTTTTTATGGGAACGAGAAACACTGATCCTTATTCTAGCCATCTTGAGGAATTTACTATGACTGATGCTGATTGGCCACAGTTTATGAGAGTAAACCCTATATTAGAGTGGTCGTATGATGATATATGGAAGTTTTTAAGAGGATTGTGTGTATCGTATTGTAGTTTATATGATCGTGGCTATACATCTTTAGGCAGTATGAACAATACCCATCCTAACCCTACACTACAGTATATAGATTATAGAGGAATAGTCTGTTATAAACCAGCTCATCAGTTACAAGATAATCAACTAGAAAGAGATGGACGGAATGTGTAAAAACTTTTAGATTACGTCAATTTTAAAATCATTGGATTACAACAGATCAAAATATTTGTTTAAATGAAATAAAATTTTAGTATAGAAATTAACATGAATATAATCTCTAAATTTAGTATATCTAGTATATTTTTTTAATAAAATATACCGTAGTTTATGTACTTTGAAATGAAAATTGTCATTCCATGTATTTTTAAATTCTATTTAAATTTTATCTTTATTTCAGAATAAACCTTATTGTGTCCTTTCTTCCTATGTGCTGCGCATGTTTTTATCATGTATAATGTGCATATAAGAAGTCTTAAATTTATCTCTCCAATCTGCATTACTATCAAAAGGATCTTGCCCATTCATAGATCAAAGCTTTGTGACTAGGGTCCTTAATAAATTAAAAATATTGTTGAATGGATAATATTTTATTATAAATACAATTTAATATGTAATAAATAGCAATAATTTCTTGTATAATTCATTTTATTCTGTTTAATACATTGTAGAGTTTCAGTGAGGCATAGGAATCAAGGGCTGCATATTTCTGTTGTACTGCAGTTAATGGAAATTTGGCCCAGTCTCCACATCTCAGTCTAACATCTTTATTTAATTTACATCTTAGTACATTTCTAACTAGCCCATCCAAACTCCAGTTTTCATTGGATTTTAACTTTTTATTGGCTAAATGTCGCAACTCTATCATAGAATGTGGAATAATGGACATTGCATTCACATCCCAATCTTTGTCAAGCTTCCAAAAGTCATTTTCAATATTCAAACCAACTTTCTTAATGCTTTTGTCCTCAATCAAAGTTTTCAGAATTTGAGGGAATTCCTTCATAGCTGAGGTATGAAATAGATAACAAGTCTTTTCACTCACTGAAATTTGAACAAGAGCTACTTTTCCTGAGGGATTACCCATTTCATAAGTTACTGGCCATTCCAAGTCAAAGCCGACTACAAGTTCATTTTCAAAGATGGCAGAATAACAATGCAAGGGAAGTAACGCTTAATAAACATTTCTATTACCTCCCTTTATTTACATTCCTATAATATGTTACCATTTTGGAAGTAATGAATCACAGAAAAATAATTCTGTCTTTCTGTATGATTTTCTCGAGTTGAAAGATGGTTCAGGAATGAAAAAAAGAATCCTTAACTTTTACAAATATTCTGATATTCTGGCACAACAATACATAAATGCTAAGAGTTTAGTTTTGATGTCACCCGTTTCAATAATAGTTCTGTATGGTGTTTTTCTATAGTAATTATTTGAGTTATAGTTGGTCGAATTGAATAAGGTTTTACTTTTAATTCTAATATACAAGATAAATCTACCAATTTCTGTTGACACTGTTGAATACCCTGAAAAAAATTAAATTATTTTTAGTTAATAATGATTTGATAAAGTGTTCATACGACCACACATGGCCTTTAATTATTTCATTACATAATTACTAATTAATTAGGTGCATCATGACCATACAAAAAGCTATTTAGGATAAGAAATAATTCTACTGTGAAACTGTTGATGAGAAGTCAAATTTGTAAGCAGAAAATGTAGTAAACTTTCCCAAAAACATCAATTGATACTGTTCAATTGTAAAGGCACAAAGGTCATACTTACATTTAATAGGACTTCTTTTACTGATGGATTTGACCTTGCCTGTTTTCTCATGACCTTAATAAAGAGAAATATTTAGAGCTTTACTAGAAATAGTAGAAAAAGTATATTTCTATAAATGTCTAAAAACCATACAACAATGAAATTGAGAAGACAATTTATTTTTAAAAATAAGAAATAATATAGGTATACTTACAATACTGTCTTCTGCAGAAAAACCAATTAATTCAGATAAAACCTAAAATAGTACAATAAATAATGCTATAATGTTATCTTCCATATATGACAGACATTTTAAGAAAAAATCGCATAACTTCATTCAGAAAAAGCTTTAAAATATATTTCTCTTTTCAAGGTGGACACAGACAGTTTGTTCTGCAGGCCTCTCAACATCTTCACACTGTCAATGTAAAAACCATACTGAAGAAATATCGCAATGAGTACCCATATAGTAATATATATCAATGCTTAATATTGTGATATCTACTTGAACCAATATTACCCAGCCCTATAACTTATTGTATATTATAGACTTTCCGTTGAGGCCCTTGATTGGTGGTATTTGTTCGTGTACAATCCAATAAAACCCAGCATTTACAAACTTGTGTGACATGCAGAGGTGTCTTTTGCAGTCAATGCAAAGCTTGTAAGAACTTGTGAATATGGCCTACTTTCAATAATTATCAAACTCCTCATTTGCAATCTTAAGGATAATTTTCATAACAGCATGAGGTCTATTGTATAATACACTTACTGTGTTAGAAAGATCAACATCCATAGCATAAGTACCATCATTTATCTTACAAGCTAATGTCCAACTTTCTCCTTTACCACTGGTAAGTTTGCTGGTTAATGTTGATATATAGGCCTAGTGAAAAAATACTCTCTTTAGTGGAATGTCAAAATATCCTGAGTAGGCTTAATTTTGTTATCACAACAAATTATCTAAAGCTAAAGAACTGTATTTAGATTGAAAATACAGTATTTAAATATTGATGTTTGGAATGCTTATATTAACTCTGAAACACCCATTGCCTAATAATCTCAGAGTCCAGGGATATTATCAATTTCTTTACATACCTTCACTTTTACAGTATGTTCAGAGTCGTAAGGCATAGAATCTGACAGTAACCTCAGATAGGTAAATGGTTCATTCCCATCCACTGGAAAATATAACAAATACATATATATCAGAACAATTGAACTTTATTATTTATTAAGTGTACAACAGTTAATTATTCTACTGCAAGTCATAGTTCTTTCAATCACAACAATCAGCCATTCAAAAATGAAACTTATCCGTACAGAGGTAATAGTTGAAGTCCACAGTATATTTTAGTAAAATTAAATAGTTTGTGATAGTAAAGGACTTGCTTTCTCAAAAAAATTTAAACTTTTGTATTGTGTATCTGAGACATTGAAGGCCATGATGTGCACTGTTTTGATTGTATCACAATTACTACATATCAAATCCTGCAATTGTCGAATATTTTCATACATACCTTCTTCAATACTGATTAAGTTTCTTACATTAGTAGAAGCTTCATTGTTAACAGTTGTATTAAAGGGGTGTATCACAGCTTTAGGTAAATTAGATCTAAATGAACAGTTTTTATCATCTGGGAGCATGAAATCATCATCATCAACCACCATGGCAGCTAGCTCATCATCAAAACCACTTAATTCACCTCGATCATCACTAGTATTTAATCTTGATGATTCACCAAAATTTAAACTTTTAACTGTTGTTGCCTTTTCTTTTTTAAATGAAGTGAACATATTTTCTATTTTTTGTTGTTCTAATTTAGGTTTTTTAGTCTGTGGTAAAGGAGTATTGGAAGAAACTCGACTGCTTTTACTTCCTTGAACACGTTCTGTTTTTGGAGTACTATTAGAATTTTGTGGTTTTTGAAGAGTTGAAGAAGTAACTTTTAGATTTTGAACATATTGAGCTGTATCTGATGTTATAGTTTGTTTATTATCTGTTTCCATTGACAACAATAAATCATCATCCATATCATGCATAAACATTTCATCATCAAAATCATCATCCCACTGAAAGAAATAATATAAAATTTTGATTAAATTTCTTCTTGGAATTTTATTCTGTGAAGCATTAAAGTGAATAACCAGTTTCAGAGATTAGTGCTGATATTGACAGATATTAGGCTATTTGAGATAATCAATTGAGAAAAGAAATTTTTTTTTAAATCCCTTGGTACTGCATACTTTGAAAAATTCAAAATAAGCTCAAAATCCAGCATGGTAATTAAAGTTGTACCTTACTCTTTATGGATCATTTCTCATTCAATACCTTTATTTCTTATTAGTAATAGCTATGATACTCGCTTCTTTAATACTTAATGATTCCGGCACGTTTGTATTAAATATAGCTTATATTTCAAAATAATAATACTTACTACTGCATCCACAGCTTCAACTTTAACTGGTTCTACAAAATCAATATCAAATATATAAATCAAATAACAAAACAAGGTCAAAATATGAAATAATTCGTCTCCTTTAGGTAATTTTTACACTACCATATAAAATTCATGTTTTTTTTATTGCAAACATAAAACATCTTAAATACCTTGTTTAATATTTCTTTTTTGAACATTTGTAGGATTGGTGAGCGTCTGAGTTTCAAGTTTGACTTCTTCTTTAATATTTTGTTTATATGGTTGACTAAGTACTTCTGTTTTAATTTGTGGCTTTGTTTCAGTTTTTATGCAGGTTTTTGAAGAAAAATTCTGTTTTTTAAAGGAGTTATTGCCTCTTTCAATAAATTGTCCAGAAAATTCTTTCTTTGCACATTTACCAGCATTTGGAATATTTTCTTCCCTAAAGTAGAGGAAATACAAAATTTAAGAGTCAAAATATATAGGAAGATAGTTTCAAGTTAATCTTAGTAAAGTTGGGATGCTGGAACATTTGATAATTCAACTGCAACAAACATTTCAAATAATTATTTTTAATGGAACTGAATGCAGTTAGTCATTTTCATTAGACTATCCTATTGTGTCAAATTATCTAATAAGATGTTAAAGCACAAATTTTGGTATATAAATAAACTTACAATGCTTTCTGAAGTATTTTTTCTGGAGGATTATTCTCTATTAATGAATCAACTTCTCCACCATACACATGAGTATTATCGTCTTTTAATAAGAGAACTCCACGCCGACATATTACACTACCATATACTAATATCTATACAAACATCGTTAACAAATTTGATACTTATCTCTTATATCAAATCTATTTCAGTATCACCATTTTAAGTTTTTACATCAAGCAGTACAAAAAAATAATATGGGGTCAGGGTCAATTTTATTTGATTGTGCTTCAACCCTCATCACTTGGAAAATGTCAATCAATCTAAATACCGCCAGAGCAGAAAGCCTGTTACCTACCTTTGTACCTAGTATAGTTTGTGTATTGAGACTTGAAAAAGGTTTATATTCCATAGCTTGTATATCATTTGTTCCATCAGTTAACTTGAAATATAGCATTTTACTTGGTTTAGGCTCCCACTATAAAATACAAACAATAGCTTAATAATAAATATATTATAAATAAATATCCTACATATCATGTAAAAAGAAGAGTAAGTCACTACATGTATTTAGAATAACTTATGTATTGACTAAATTTAAATAAATCCTACTCTGGTACTCCTTTTCTAGAAAATACAAACAATAGCTTAATTAACTTTAATAAGACATCTCCTATATATCACGTTTAGAATTCTAACTAGTACTCTATCTAATCTCTAATCATCTGAAGGTTGAACTCGGATATCAATGACCAATGATCAAAAGTTTGAATAAAATTTTTAATTTGAAATTCAGTTTCAACTAGTAAGCTTATTCATCTAGATATATATATACCGGTACCTACAGCTGGTTGTAGAGTTGTATCTGCTGAAAGGCCAACATTAGCATTTTCTGTGCCTTGAACTTTCTGTAGTTGAGAATAACATGATGTACCCACATCAACAATAGATTCAATCTAAAAAAACACAAAATGAAATGATTTGAGGTTCTACATCTTACTTTTCTGCCCCTGATTCAGCTAATGAAGACTGGCAGTGCCATCCTGTTTGGGAAGTTTGGCAATTTTTGACCAGCTTTTGAATAGTCATAGACCTTACAGAACTGGAATGTATAAATAAACTTGTGACTAATACAATGCACATGTGTGACTCAAGGTGAATAAGTTATTGAGTAATAAAAATCAACAATTATCAGCTATTCTTACTTGTAATGGGAAGTTTCCATTTAATTCAATTTTGATTTGACTAGATAATCCTTCTGGTAAACACTGACTACTGAGTTCTCGTAAATCTGACATCAACCATTGTTCAAACACAAGATTTCTCACATTTTCAATATTAGAATCTGTGTTTGTTTCCTGAAATATAGTTTAGATACCAATATTTCATTGCAAATTATGGTTTTAAACTAAAATCATATCACAAACTCATGTCAAAATGATAAAGAAAACCTTCCTTTGAATCAAACTGAGATTTAGCAGCTGATAAATCAAACCCATAGGCATGTGCTATAAACCTATAACCAAGAGAGTGACTGTAAATACCCTCCATACCTGTTGTTCTTCTTTAATCCATTCTATACATGCCTCTAACCAATCATCTTGTACTCGAATTCTGTGAGTTTCCAACATCCAATTCTTAATCTCACTGCTTTCATTTATCATGTTTAAAGCTATCCTTTATATCTTCAATTTTCTGAAAGTACAGTCAAGTAACCTAATTTCGTGCTAACCTATTTTTCGTGCATCTCCGGAAATGATTAATAATTTACATGTGTGACCTCGCATTTGATTGATAAATATGGGTTATCTGTACAATATCAGTAGTAGAATGAATCCAGTAGTTTCAAGCAAGGTAAAATGTATTAATGTATTCTTTGACAAATACAAAATGGCAGATTTCAGTTATCACCAAACGTCACCATTTTTTATCAACCGAATTTCCTTATAATCCCCAGCTGTAATCGGAATTGATAGGTGTCCAATGAATGAAGTCATGTGATCAACTAGCGGATTCTGTGTCAGCAGAAAAATTCTATGGGACACAATGTGGGCCATATTCTTATGTTGTTTCAATGACTTTTAGCAATAAATCGCGCTGCGTATCTTATTTTGTCAGTCACTATTTTTTTTTTTAAATCATAGTTCTTTGAAGGAATTTTCATTAGTTATAATGAATTGATATTAAAGATAAATACTAAGAGAAGTTTATTATACCACTGGGTATCCATACAAAAGGGTTTTTCTCGACTTATTTATAGATCAAACATCGTTCACAAAAAATAGGTGACGCATTTTGCCACTGAAGTCGAGTTGGTTAATCTTGAAATATGGGTCAAAGTGAGGGATTCATAAAGAAAATCGAAACAAACCAATTATAATTATTTTGTAGAATATCTGAGGAAACATCTAACTTTGACAAAATTCGGTGTTGACTCCTTACATGCACGAAAATTCCAAAATTGTGGGGCCATTTTGACCAAATTGTGGGACCATTGTGGGACCATTTTGGTGTGGGACCATTTTGGTCTAGGGCCATTATGACTATAACCCGAAATATGATCATCTGAATGTCGACTGGACATCTACCGTGTAATATGACATTAAAGGAGGACATAACTGGCCAATTGTCTCTCCGTAAATATTAACTTTCGAATCTGTTTGATATGGTATTATACAACAATCTCGACAATACAAAACCTCGTAAATTGGGGGTTTCTATCAGTCAGCCATTTTCTCCCGCGGTTAGGGGGATGTTAGTTTAATCTTACGTGATATACCCACTGAAGGTTTAATGGATGTCATATTGTGGCAAATATCCTATGTGTTATTTTAATATAAACCCTTAGACTTTAAACATTCTTAGTGGCTGGAAAAAGAGATTAAGGCCTTGGGCTTATCGTTTTTTTAATAGATGCTCCATAACCGGAAGTTGCGTCAAGTGCAGACGGTTTTGTAAACAAGAAACTAGTTTTATATCATGTACAAACTAGGCCTATTAATAAACAATATCTGTATGGACGTATTGAACAGTTGATTTACATGTCCAGTGGGGATAAAAGGCTTGCTATACGCAAACCTGTGCCCTTTCAAGGCCAAGCAATGGCAGAAAGCCTGCGTGGAAGTAAGTAAATTACATTAGATCAAATTGCATAATAAAGCATAATAACCACCCTGACTGACCCTAGCCACTGCTTAGTATTACTATAGCCATAGGTCTATACATAAAATTGGAAGATAAAAACAGCCTAGTGGTATGTAAAACTATAAAATGTATGGTGTCTTGGTCGTGAAGCAAGAACATCTGAGATGATAGCATGTAAATATTTTTCTTTATAATAGTCATGATGACCACCATTTTTAAAACCCACCAAATATGACTATAAAATATGATAAATTTTTTCAGTATTTTTTTAATCAGGCGATATTACTAACGATATTTATCATGATACCTGAATATCACCCAGACCTAGTTGCTGTTATTATGAAAGATTGTCTCGCCTTTTCTCTTTTCTTCTTCATCATTGAAGTTGTTTAGTCACATTTGGCAGTAGCCAGCATATGGGGTACATGTGTCTCAATTCATAGACTTAGGCTTAAGGGGTTTGGCCAAGGTATCTGTACTTTAACTTTTGACATGAAACATTGATTAATATTGACATTTCAGATGTAAATTCAGAAGTAGTTAAAAGGTTCTTGATCAGTCACCCAGTTCTACTAGAAAAGTTGATATTAGAAAATGTCAGCATTGATAAGTTGAAAGAACTTTTAGGCAAGAAGGAAGAGCGAGAAGTAATCAAAGCTCCAGGTAATTTAAAAAGAATTATTAGCTTCTGATGTTAAACCCAAATACAAGACTTTTATTCTACTAAAGTTTTAGAGTTACGGTAGTCTATTAACTAAGGGTCCCATTTTGAGAGTCCACATAACTAATAGTTTGCTTGGTTTATTGATTCCCGAATGCTTGTATTTTTTTTTTAAGTACCCTTAAGTCACAGAAAGATGAGGGGAAAACCTGTTATAGATAACAAGGTAACTATTTATTTGACTTTTAATGTATACAGTTCCATCATATTTCATTGAAATAGTTCATAAAATTCAAACTTAGGGAGCCGCGGTGGCTTGCTCATTTACCTGAAGGTCCAAGATTCAATCCTGGCATAGGTCGTGATGATATCTTCGGATTTCGGTGTCCCCCTGTCAGTGATGTAGGTAACAGGGGCTGACATGGAAAAAGCGTCGAGACCCTGTGTGCTACAGGCTGTGCACTTTAAAGATCACTCGACAGTTGGAAATGGAAAAAGAGCAGACTAATGCCGCTGTCCTGGCAAAATTTCCCTCATTGTACCCTGCATGGCATTGCCTGTCTTCATTAGCCCACATGGTGCAGAAAAGTAGGACTCATTTCATTTGTTTATTAAACTTGCCTTTGATATGAATCTTTAATAAATAATATTTGTATTTTATTGATCTGTATTATTTGTATATATATATAGTGTACAATATGGTTGATAAATGATAATTATTAATATCTATATTCTAGTATAAGAATGATCAAATCCAAGAAATAGTTTCCAATTGTTTAACAGAATATGCAAAATCATCATGTCCCTTTGCAATTCTAAGAGAAGCAACACAAACTATTGCAAATGGTAAATTGTTTTCACTTAATTTTTTAATGTACAAAAGAAACTGGCAGTACAATATAAGAAATCATGGCTTAACCATATAGGTACCACTTAGCTCCAATTCTTCCGATTTTTCCGGGTGTTTCCCCCTTGATCCAAGTTTTTGGGTTGCAATGAATTTGACAGATTTTTTCACAACCCAGAATTATCACTAGTAAATAGAAATAGTGCCTGGTGTTGCTGTCAAGTCTAAATTTTCTCATTGAACACTACATGGCATAGAATGAAGTTTAAGTATTATTTCAATTATCCATTTCAATGTAAAATGCTTTTAAAATTCTTACTCCATCCATGTCATATATATATCTGTAACATTTGTTATTGCATTTAGTTGTGAAAGCAGACAGTTTTACTTTGTATGTGCCAACACATAATGATAAGGTAAGATTATTAGATAAGTAATTTTACTCATGAAAGACTGACATGCTTCCATAGAACATCTAACACCAATATCCTTCCGTAAGTCAGCCTGATATAGGTTTTCAACTCCTAATACCAATTTGTGATTATACTATGTCTACTCCATATCATACAGCTGAGTTTGTTAAGGATCATAATCTGTACCAGTGTATATTGTTGACATTAGAGCAGAGTAAAGAAGGTTTGATATTTTGCTAAAGCTAAGCCTTTTTATACTTCTTAAATTTCAAATCTGCATCTTTTAAAGTTGAAGTTGACAATGAAATCAATGTGCTGTATTACAGAATCACAAGCTGAGCTAAGATAGCTTTAGTTTGGTCAAATGATCAAGGGTCTAATTTGAATATTCAATTTCTACATTTCTCAATATATTTTTAACAAGAATTTTACATTTCCTAAGGATTTGGATATTTATGAAGCAAATAAAACAAAGTATGGTTACATTTTTACATTAGTTAAAGGCATTGGGGCTAGCTTGAATTTTTCCTCAAGTGCTAATTTTAATCAAAAACTTCAAAGCAATCCTCTTTCGATCTTTTTCTGTAACATTTTCACATTTCTCTAAGGCAGCTTATGATATTATAAGATAAACACTATATAATCAATAGTAGATTCAAATAGCTCCATTTGCAATTGATTCAATTTTATTTTAATTCTTTGTTAATATTTTTAGCTACCAGTTATTACAATTTCAACCGACATAAAGTGTTCACAATAACTGTTTAAATCTGAATTCAATCTATACTAAAGTTTTTTGTCTTTAATTAGTTGCAAATTAACCTTTGAAAATATTAAAATTCCTAATTAATCTATCAATTTTAGATATTTTCTCTTAGCTACTGATTATTTTAAGTAGAATTTTCATAATGAATTCCATTTGATTTAAAGAATTGATTCAGATTGTTGTTTTTTAATGAAATGTTTCTATTGACATTTTTCATAGTTTAAGTTACTTAAGAAATGTACAGTCCACTATTGCTTTGATAGGTTCTAATGAACATTATGAAATTTTAATGGTTAGAATTTGCTGAAACAGCAATGAAATATGAACAAGATTTTTATTTGTTGCAAAAAAAACCATCATAGGAAGTGATCACTTTAAGTAGATTTTCCCATTATAGGAAATACAATTTGAGTAATATGCCAGTACATATCTAAGAGAAATATAATGTGTGATTTTAGGACTTTCTATGGACCAATGGGATACAAAATGACAGTAGCAGCTCATGTTGCAACTGAACAAAAAAGTCTGCTTATAAGAGATCTTCTACAGGCAAGTATTTGAAATATATCTCACATGCTAGGGAGTTATTTTTGAAAAATTAAGAAGATTTTAGTGTTTCAGTCATCTTGTTAAGTTTTAGAGAATATGATGTAAGGATGAATTGATGAATGTATTGTCCTTTGTTACTAGTAAACTTGATTTGCTGCAGAAAGGTCATAAAATTGAAATGCCTGAAATCTGTTATACATATAAATATATTTATTGGGTTATATTTACAGGATACCAGGTTTCCAAAGGGTATAAATCATACATGTGATGTTTGTAGTGTGATTTGTATACCATTATTATTACCTGAAGGTGACCTAGTGGCTATCTCAGAATTCCATCGAGATGGCTTCAAAGATATATTTTCAGAAAGAGATTTTCAGGTAAATTCAAAAATTTCTGCCACAGTTCAATAGCAAATTTAGCTCTCTCTATCCATTTTCAAACTTAAAACGTTTAAAATATGAGCAATGGAAGTTAAAGGGATTGTAAAGAGGTTTTATAGATTTTATGTGTATCAGGGATAAATTGCACCAGTCTAATTTTCAATCAGATGTCTGTAGTTCCTGAGATTCCAGTAAAACCAAGTGTTTGATAACCTCACTAATCGGAAAGGGTCTAATGTGATTAAGCTTATTTTGTAATTAGTGCCATCATAAAAGACTTAGTTTAAACCACTTTACTTGTTCTTTATGCAGATATGAACATTACTGATCATGTCATGAAAAGTAACTACAACCAAGAATGTCCATAATGTGGAATTTGATAGTTGAAATTCGTATCTAGCAAAATACATTATTTATTAGCTATTTTATTTCAAATTTAAAAAAAAAAAAATGGTTATGAATTAAAAACATTAATTTGTTTTTTATCAGATTGCCAATGCTATGTTATGTTCCATCCTATCATGTTTACACCTAAGTCAGGTTAGTTGAATAACTATTGATAATAAATATTCAAGAAATCTCTATTCATTGTCTTATTTGTTTTACATGTTAATAAACAATTTTTCATCCTTGATTTTATTTTTGAGATTAATGTCAATCTCTAAAAAAAACTGAGAGTTGAGAAGCAAAACTTCCATGTAAAATTGACAGTCCTTTTTGTTGTATCTGATATTTTTCCAATAAACCATTTGGAGAAAAATAAATCATATATTCCTAGTTATCTTTTTAAGAAATTGTGTCTGATCTTTGGAAGAAAGATTATGTAAGACATCAATAATCTTGTCATATTTCCAAAGATTTTGTATATCTTCATGTCTTTTTTGAATATTTCTATTCATTTTAGATAAATAAAGTCTTAGAAACACAACAAGAGTTGAATGACTTCTTATTAGAAACAACAAAGTATGTAAATTTATTGATATATTTTAATGGAATTTGATTTAAAAATCACAATTTGAAAAAAACAATATGTCATGACATCTACACTTATTGCTTACACATGTCACATGAAAACCTTCTTCATTGATGTTTTTAAAATCAATTTAAGACTGTTTTATATTCTGTTTTGTAGACAATTATTTGATGATGTTATTAGTATTGATAGTCTTATACAGAGCATTATGGTTAGTATTTAGCATGTTTCAAATTTGTGTTTGCAAAAAAGCTGCTGCTTATGACCATTTCTGATATAAATTCCCTCATCAGGACAACTGTTTTTAGGTCGGTTCCCCATAAAGGTGTATGAGCAATACAGTCATCTAGCTAAACTGGACTTATTGAATCCATTTCACTTTATATAAAGCAGACTGTTTCTACTCACTATTATTATCATTTATAACTCTGTTGTCCAAATGCTTTATATATTTACAGCACTCTACTAAAAATCTAGTAAATGCAGAAAGATGTGCACTCTTTCTGATAGATCATCAAAAAGGGGAATTATTTGCTGATTTTTTTGATGAAGGTTATGATGTTGATGGAAAACCAGTTTTCAAAAAGAAAAAACAAATCAGGTAAATCATAAAATGCTAATTGCTTATGATAATGTAATACATGGCATATTGAATAACAAGCATGATATGGGAGTGGCCTAATCTGTAGCCCAATTAGTGAATGTTCTTAGAATCAAGGGAAATGTCATGCCTGAAATATAGTGTTCATATTGCATGTGACCGACCTGTAATAGGTATGAGGAATTTGAGATTGTCTAGTATCTTTTGCATAACATCTTCTCATTGGGAAGGAAATGAAAATACTCTATGAGAACAGGGAACAGATATTGTACAAATTAACAAACTAAATTCTATTTACCACAGGTTACCGTTTGATGAAGGTATTGTCAGTAAGGTAGCTAAAACAGGAGTAATAGTTAATGTTAAAGATTCTTTAAAAGATGACAGGTTTACAAAGTAGGTATTAATATAGTTACTGTTTATTTTTCAGTATATAATTTAACTGTGTATATGTGCTTGTAAAACACTTTTGACACACATCACATATTCAAGGTTTCTCTCTAATGATGGCAATTGCTTGACATTGTAAAACACTTTTCACTTTCAAGGTTTCTCTTCAGTATATGATATCATGTGATTGAAAAGTGTGCAAATTGCTATAAAAACACTATTCAGTTATCAAGTTTCTCTTGATTGTGTTATCAGTTTAATGTGTTTTAACACTTTTCACAAACTCCACCTTTGTGAAATTGCTTTACCAGTACTTCACATGATCAATTGTAAAAGTTTGCAGGTTCTGGCAAACCACTTTTCACAAACGTCACAATGTTTTATGTTATCTATATGATATGATTTATAACTTATGAAATCTTGTGTTTAGAAATGTTGATAAACAGACAGGTTATACCACAAGAAATGTATTATGTATGCCTATTGTTGGTAAAGGAGGTGTGATTGGAGTGGTTGAGTTGATCAACAGTTCAGCATTTGATCATTTCACAAAAGCTGGTGAGTACTAGTTCTTAAATAGTTCTCACTTCTAGTTTTATAAACAATCTATTATTTGAAGTGATTAATCAACTGTTTCTAATTGCCTGTAGTACATTTCTTATTGTGACTGTAGTGAGTGAACCAAAGTAACTGACAACTTGTTGTATTTACAGATGAAAGTGCCTTTAAGATGTTTGCTGTATATTGTGCTTTAGCTTTGCATTATTCAAAAGTAGGTTTGTCAATATAGAAATACATTATTTAATTAATTATTATTCTTGTTTATGCAGTTGAAATTACCAATGAAATTACCAGATAAAAATAAAGTCTGTGAAAAGGGTGAATTTATGTTTAGAATCTTCACAAAATTAGTTCAAATATCTCTGTTCATCTATACTAACTGTTCTATTTAAGAAATTGATTTTCTATTGAGGTGGAGCACATTCTTTGCTTCTATATAGAGATTTGTGGACAATTTATTCTAGTTATTGTTTTATTGTAGTTATACAGTATGTTACATTTACAACAAGATCAATATGAAGTAGCTATGGAGGTTTTACAGTATCATATATTAGCTAGTGAGGAAGAAATTGGTGAGCTTATGAAGAATCCTTTACCAACACCTGATCAAATACCTCCTTCTCTTTATACGTAGGTGTTAAAATCACTCTAAAGGATCTTCTTTCTGGCATCTTTTATCATCTGATAGTTGCACAGGTTTCTGAAGTATACATGTAATATAGCTGTGAAATTCTAATTAGCCAGATAAGTGCTGAACTCTGAGGCATTAACGAAACTTGTGATTTTTTGAAAATATTTCTTATCATTTATTGTCAAGCAAAGTTATTGGTTCAGTGTGCAAATCAGCATACGATTCAAACATAAATAAGCAGTCCATTTATTGCTGAATAGTTCACAAATATCTTTGCTCAATTTTACCAAATTTATGCTAAAAATGTATTGATGTGATTGTTTTTCTCAAAAATAGGTTTGATTTTTATGGAGGTGAATATATGGATAGTTTGCCCAAGTTCTTTCTACATATGATAGATGATTTATTTGGTGTGACCAGGTGAGTTGAACATTATTAAAGATTATATCATCAATCCATTTTTTTTTATTACAGATATCTTGGCTACGTATACTTTTAGACATTTGAAATAGAAATTGTTGAATGAAAGTCTTGGGTTTTTGAGAATGTACATTCTTAATGAAAATATGAAACATATATAGATTGTTGAGGACTGAGAACTCAATCTTGTAGATAAACGTTGTGTATTATTCAGATTTCAGGTGAAGAAATTGGTCCATTTTATATTAACTGTAAGAAAGAATTATCGACAGGTTATGTACCATAACTGGAAACATGGATTTCATGTAGCTCATAGTCTATATATTATGATCAAAACTTCCCCTGAAGTCTTTACTACTGTAGAGGTATGGTTAATGTATAACACAGTTTTTGTTAATTACTTCTACCACTCTAATTATCTAGCATTAATCTCATTAACATATTATGGCAATTTAAATATGATATTCTTTGGTAAAAGTTCTACTGATATTCTACGAATATTTGCCAACAAGTAGTAGTTTATTTTGTTTAAATTTTCAGTCATTAGCACTAGTATTAGCTGGTATTTGTCATGACCTTGACCATCGTGGCTTTAATAATGCCTTCTTCGAGAAATTGCATCATCCTCTTGCAGCTCTATATTCTACAAATGTTATGGAACAACATCATTATAAGCAAACCGTATTGATATTACAGGTAACAAGCTTTTTCTTTTCATAAACCAGTTCTTTAAGCGACAAAAATCTCCAAGAGATCAGAGATGCCTATAAATGTTCAAGAACTGGAAGTAACAAAGATACATAATTATATAAATGCTTAGACTTATAATAAACTTAGCTAATAATATCTAAAAGACTTTGAGATAGATTTAACACAAATCTCCTAAGTTTTTAGTATAATTGCAAGAACATCTGACTGATAATTGGAATGGTGCATTTCTATGCTATCAGTGAGAGTCTTGAGTGGTCTTGGTTGGAGATTTATGTCGGTCATTTTCTACATCGAATCTGATCTGATGATGAAGGTCTGTCTGCAGACGATAATTCTGAGACAAGTATCAAATTTGTTTGATATTATAAATCCTCTCGGGAACGCGATAATCTTGTCGTGGAAGCATGGGCACAGACAAGATTTTACTCAAGACTCTAATCGGCGACAAAAATTTCTGACCAAGACTGCTCGTGTGGTTGCACCTTAACTGTTATGGTTTTGTCCACCCTATTTACAGATGTTATGTATTATTATATAGAGTCAAGGTCATGATATATTATCTGGTATGAGTAAACGAGAATATAAAATCATATTAGAAATGATTAGACAAGCTATAATAGCTACAGATTTAGCTCTGTATTTTGGTAATCAGAAGATATTACACGGCTATCTAAATGATGGTGTATTTGATATTAAAGAACCTGAAATGAGGTAATTATAGGAATCTGATTTTGTAATGGAAACAGCAGACAATACATGGCACTTTTTATGAGTTGAGCCTAATCCATTTTTGGATCGCTAGTTTTTTGGTTGAAATTCACTGGGCCGATGGTATACAAAGCTGAATGATTAAGTGGTCTGGTTTTACCTCATGTCTAAGGAACCAATTAGGCCAGATTTGTCCTTTTGCTTTTAAGGTGCTAAGTTATCAATTAGGTGAGTCTTGTACCACCTTTTTTTTTCTGACATTTTTTCTGTTCAGATTTTTTTAATATCAACAAATGTCTCATGGGTTTATCATGGTGTATAACTTTATATGAAGGTTTCTCTACAGATTCCAAACAGTATGTGGTGATCTTTTGATAAAATGGTTTTATTTCAGAAAACAGGCTCTATCATTAATGATGACAGGCGCAGATCTATGTGCTATAGCCAAACCATGGAATACTCAGAAACAAACAGTCAATGAAATTTATGAAGAATTTTACTATCAGGTACAATATTCTCCATTCTTGTCAGTAAGACATTTAGAATTCATTTTCATAAGTTTAAAGGCCTTTTAAATGTCAATATTCTGGTAAGATCTTGAAGAGATGCATGCCAAACTCGTAAATTGTGACAAATATCAATTGTCCTTACTAAAACAAATTTACCTTTGGGTATATGTTGTCTGACCTATTCAGCTATTTAGATATGACTTATAGATGGTGTTGTACTTTAAAGGGAGATGAAGAAAAGAAACAAGGTCTAGTTCCTACAGCAATGATGGACCGTGAAAAAAAAGATGAAATCCCCAAACAGCAGGTAATATGCACTTTTTAATTGTTAATATTGATACTATTGTAAAATTCCATCTATTGGACAGATTCGCCATTTGAAATTTAAAATAAAGACTCGTCTTTTCTTGAGACCAAGCCATATATATAGAAAATCAAATTTCTAGTTTGAAGTATTTTGAAGAAATGCGATTTCAGTACATTTCTAGTACTTTTGAAGACTAATTATATATATTCAAAACCCAAACCTACCCTCAAAAATTGCAAACCATACCCTTTAACCATAGTGACACAGGTCAGATGACACAATGGAAGAGACATATAGTCCTTGCATTTGAATGTACTCTATATGTATTGTCAGTCTTTATTATCTGTGTATGTGCATATGATTACAAAAAATTATTGATAATAGTTTGATATATAGTACCGGTATATATATTTAAAGGTTGGATTTATAAAGTTTATTGGTTGTCCTCTATATACAACATTAAAACAGATATTACCATCTACAGAGAAACTACTACAGGGATCATTGTAAGAAATATACTAGTAGATCTTACCGTCAAAATCTCAGTTTCAGATTTTTGAAACATGACAATCTATTCATTATGAATAAACAAATCAATCAAAAAATGAGCTTGAAGAACTCTTATGATGTTGTGGATATGAACTCCATAGACATGATTCCAAACTTGGACTTATGCTGTAGTCATGTTTCAGGCATACATTTATTATCAATATAACTGAGTTTTGGATTTCCCAAATATGGAATAAGGGCAGATCAGCAAGGTAGTGAATTCAGATTAGAGTAGCAGTTGTGTAATAGAAAATAAACTATCTATTTCAGAACAAATATTGAATTATGGCAGAAAGAAGCAGATAAGTTTGAAGAACAGAAGAGTGAAAGTTCATAATATAATTGATTCTTCATATTGTTAAGTTTTTGTTATTAAATTATTTTTGTTGAATGAATCACATTTTCTTTACTTTTTTCATCAATCCTAAACAAACAATAAGATAAGAGCATTTTATTTTCTAAAATTTCATGGATTAATTTCAACTGATTATTTTTCCTAAATCAATCCGTATAGAACCCCTGCCTTAATTTTAAAATATCATATATCTCTTACACATAAAATGTGTTTTCCACTTCAACCCGTTTTAACAAATATAAAATAACAATAACATAATAATATCCCTAATTGTTACCACTATCATAATTTGCTAGTTTCTCGATCTAAATTCCAATATTCCTCTGTTTGCATTTCTGTTAATCTCGAAATGGTTCTGTCAAATGCAAATAATTCTTCCTCCCCTGTAAAAACACTAGCTGTTGCAGTTTCCTGGAATATGTCACAAAATTAAATGGTTTAGTAGGGCAAACAGCTAAGCAATAAAATACTGGATAGTTGCCTATAACACACTCATTTTCCATGCAGCCAGGTCTTGAAAATTCACTCTGCTCTTTACATGACATTAGTTTATTAACAATTGCTAGTAACTTGGCATAAATAAAAGTGTTACTGAAATGACCTACTTACAGGAGTTATACCTAGATCATCCATTAAAGCTCTATTAGCTTGTTGATCTAGATGACTTAATGAGCCTGTGGTAAACAAACCTTTAGGTTCTGCTTTAGCTGAACACACTAATTTTACCTGCATTGAAATAGATTGAAGATATTGATGCTTTTTAACAAACTTAAATTTTAATTTATTAAGACTGAGGTACATATCTCATTAAAATTAAATTTTAACTTTGAACCAAGTTTTCATGCACCAAAATTTTCTTTGATATTGGAAATATCTGGTTTGACTCTGATAATGGTCTACCTATAGAGGTTTGATTATTGTCCAGTTTGACCAAATATAAAAAAAATACTGTTGATTTATTGTAACTCCTCAAGTAACTAACATACCTTATTATCATAAACAGTATCTATAAATGTAATAAATCTTCTTGCTTCAGTTTTTCTACTCAAATTCATAGTAGGTATATCTCTCATAATCACTACATCAAACTCTTTACTAATTTCTAAATAATCCACAGCTCCTAAAGCCTACAATATAGCCATATAACAAACTTATAGTAAAATAAGTGCCCAAAATACATGAAATGAATACTATTTTGTTGTCTTTTTAACTCCTAATAAAGCCTTGATTCTTAGTAAGGGGCATTTTTTTGTTGTTTTAATTATAGAAGTAAATTGATTCAAAAATGTATGAAAAAAATGCATTATTACCTGCATACATAAGTCACTAAAAGTTGTATCCAATACTCTGCCACATGTTTTAGGTAATGTTAATTTCCTTCCTAAAACTATTAAATCTCTTGAACAAATATCTACAAAAAAATTAAATTAAAATTTGTCAACACCTGTTAGAGTTTGGACATCTTGGTTTCTGGATTATTTTCAAAGCTTGAATTAAGCCCAATTACCCAGTAAAAAGGAATTTTAGTAAAATAATATAAAAATTCATACTGATAACTTTCATTCATTTGTTAAACGGTTGCCCTGATTGGATATGCCAGAATTGTGCCCTAGAAGAAACCGAAAAGTAACTAATATTGGAATGGCAGTAAAAAGAAGTGCCAACCTTGTCTCTGGTTCTTGACATACTCTTTGAATAATCTATCTAATTCTTTATTACTATCACAGTCACTGTGCCTGAAATAACCAAATAACAATGCCAAAATTAATAGAATTGAACACGTTTAAAGCTCTTGGCATTGTCCTTTTCTCATTAACCAAATATGATTTTAAGAAAACAAGCATGTAAAACTCAATTTTAAGGAATATCGCAATGGTAAAACAGTTCTGACATAACTTAATCATAATGTATTAGATCTAATCTTGGAATGAAAACTTTGAAATAATATTTCATCAATTTTCTGTAAGGTAGTCTAAGAACACTTGTGAAATTTTTAAAAGATACTTACACAAAATATACTTTTCCTTCAGCAGGCAAGGTCCTCATTCTGTAGTCTATACCAGAATCTAAACATATAGTCTTACAATATTTCTACAATGTAAAATATATTCACCATAATCTATCTAAAAAAGCAAAGTGTTATGTTGCACATTTGAAATAATGGGGGAAAAAAACCCAGAAACATATAACTATTTAAATATTCAATACTGACCAATGTCATACACAAAGACAAACAAACAATGTTTCTTAAAAATATATTGCAACATATTTTATTTCTAAGTAGTTTTTTGTTAATATTTTTAAAATTACTTACTTTTAATACTCCAATAAATGGCACAAAATTACCTCTTTGTAAACCATTCTTATATAAATCTGTAAAAAATATAAAGCATTTATGAAGAAAAACAAAAAATAGAAATTAAAAACTCATTCATAACTTGCAGAAAGTTTCGGTTTCATCTTTTAAAGTATAACAAAGAAGTACAATTTAGAGTGAAAATGATCTGTATTATAATGTATTCTTACCATCTGGTGCTCTGTTAGATGTCGCTACAACTACTACACCACTTTCAAATAAATTAGTAAATAAACGGCTCAAAATAACAGCATCAGCTATATCAGTAACCTACAAGGGAATTATGAACTGTATTGTAAGAATAAAGAACCATGAATCATCTTCTCTATATTTCTTTGTGATATGTGATTAAAGCATCCAAAATCCTCTTTCTCACCAGTAATACCTTTTTACTGAAGTAAAGTATTGGAGCTAATATTGAACAACTAAAAATTTCATTTTAATCTATTACTGTTCAGTGTTCATTACAGCTTCAAAACTATTTGGCAATGAGTCTCGTTTAAGGTAATTAAAAGACTAAATCTCGACTAAATATATAGAATACAGGTACAGATTTCTGAAAACCAAAACACTACCTGAAATTCATCAAAACAGAGCAGTGTAGATTCTTCACTAATTTCTCTAGCTATTGGAGCAATAGGATCATAAGCATGAGAATGTCTGATATTTGTAACTTTTGGTGCTGATTTCTTCAAAGCATGAATTCCTAGAATCAAAGAATTCAATAGATAAATATATATATATATAGTCACTGGTCTTATAGAGGTGCAACCTATACACATAAAAGGCAAAGATCACATATAATGAAAAGAGACTGAGGAAAAGGCTTATAAAAATCTAATAAATTTCTTGAACACTGCTGCCAAAATTTCTCTTTAGATAATAAGTTACTTACTTTTATGAACATCTAACATAAATTTATTAAAATGAACTCTTTGTCTTTTGTCTACAGAACTTGAATCGTGAAACATATCCATCAACATAGTTTTCCCACATCCTGAAACACATGCAGTATATACTTAAAAATATTTATTGATCTTTTGAATATTTACTTCAGATTCCTCAACATTAAACAAAGCACTAAGATGCCCTATAACATCTCATCACCATGGCTTGTTGATTAATTATACATGTAATTCACTGGGTGGATGTTTGTATTAATTTAGATATTGTACTTACCAACACTTCCATATAAATACAATCCTTGAGGAGGTTGAATAACATTGGAGTTGGAATTTCCACCAAGTTTCTGAAATTTCAGAAAAATATACTAATGAAATGAGTTTTGATAGAAGCTAAATACCTTTTAACACTAGGCAATGACAGTCTTCAAATATAAGTTGTACTCAAAGGCAGATTTAAAAGGTCCATTCAATCAATTAATCAACATATTACACATTATGCTGAGTAGGTTCACTTATTTTTCAACATTCATAAACTTAAGCCTGAATGAAACAAAAATAATTTATGGACAAAATACTAATATCCTACTTGGGATAACCATGATTGTGTCGGTTTTGGTTGTGGTTGATAACTAAATAGTCTATCATGTAAACTTTGTAATTCTTCCACTACACATCTTTGATGTTTATCTTCATGTAATTCACCTTTAGAAATTCTTCGATTGTAAACATCTAATGGGCCATTTCTGGTCAAGGAATGGTCTGTTGTATTTAACACATCAGATGACGTAGATGTTCCTAGAATAAATAAAACTTACAAATTAACATCTTTTATCTAGAAATATGCTAACAAAACCATACAGATCAGAATTTAGTCTAAAAAATAAGAAAACTGATGATGGGTTCTGATGATAGGGAATATCTATATTCACAAAAAGGACCTATGACAATGGAGAATGTTAAACTATGATCATGATGCTGTTTTAGCTAGAGGTTTGGTACTTTTAATTTGTTGGTAATTTCATATCATGAACACAGCACTATTATGTTTGAGTGCGGTGGGTTCACTCTGTTCCAGTCCGACTACTCTTGAGAACGGAAGAATTTTTTTCGTGAATGATAAGTGACTCACCAAAGCTACGTGATATATTGAAGAGTTTGAGATGTAATTTCTGACTTCTGAGCACAGAATTTGTTGAAAAAAGAACTGCTACCCTCATTCTTCCATTTCAAAACTTCAATGTCAAATTTTGTTTACAAAACTTGCATTACGAGTTATCTGCCCCTTTTTAGACTCTTTCTTGTTTCCAACCGGACAGTTTTCTAAGGGACGCAACTCATAGTTTGTTCAGTAATCTTAATCTCAGTTATAAAAATGAAATACATTGTCACCCTGATGTGCGAGTTCAAGAAGCATTATGTCAGCTGTATAATAATCCTTGCAACTCGTCCAGCGGAACAAGGGATATTTTGTGGTTGCAACATTACTAGCAATATCTGACTGTTGTTCTGGCTAAGGACTTGGCTCTTGTGGATCTTTCATGATGAATTTGAATCAAAAATGTATCTTGTCAGTTAGCAATTAATTAGAGAATTGAATTTCACACAAATGGATTATCTTCATACTTGAATATCGCAGAAAAGGAAGTTACCACCATGTTGAAAGCTTTTGTGTTGAATTTGAACTGTTATTAGTGGCAAATGCGTTTAAGTGGCCAGAAAAAAAATTAACAAAAGTTTCACTTATTACAGAATACATTTATTAAGATAAGTTTGCTAACATACAACTGAAATGATCTTAAATGATTAAATCTTGCATTAGTTTTCAAACAGAAGTAAAAGATAAAGATTGGACCAATCTCTGAAACTGTACATATGTTAAGCACTCGATTTGTCTACTTTGTATTAAATCTTACTTTTTCTAGTCAATATAATAACACTTACATATAATTTGAGCGTGACAAAAATTTTAATTTCATAGAAACATTATTTATGACATTTTGAAAATAACTGACACAAGTTAATCGTGAAGGTAAAAAAAACAAAACAAAAATGATTAAAATATGATAACCATACAAAATAATATTAATAATCTAGGATAACATTATAAACTACAAATACATACAAAATATACCTTATTAGTGTAAAAATATCTTTATTCATTCATCTTAAATCCAATCATTAGATAAATCATCATTATTCACAGATGTCATTCTTGATAAATATTACAACAGTAAAGCTACCATTTATCAACAATTCTGCTAAATCAAAACAATATACTTCATTTTTGTTCAATATTAATTGAATGCAATTCAAATGTGTTTTGATAGCTGCAAGTCAATATAACATACAAGCCATTATAAGAAAATTGAGTATTGGCTGAATATAAATCACATATTTCTATAGAAACCACGTTAATATTAGGTTCATATTGTATACAATGTTGTTCACAACACAGCTATCCTGCTAGTTATTGTCAGAATACTCAATCTGTCAAAGCAAATGATCATAAGGTACACAATTCATGATTTATTGACATAGAAATTAAAATTGGTTTTAGTATTTAGTATCTATTTTTTACACTTATATACATGATTATTTTGAGAATGACAACTGTTGGCTTATTATTGGACACCTTTATAAATTTGCTAAAGATATATGCCAGAAACTTCTTGCAGAAATACACAGGTGGAAACTGCAAATCTTCAATTTAAATAGGAGAGGTCATAAAAGTGAATGGTTCTAAAATTTGTAAGTTGTTTTGTCACATTTCCCATGGTATTGAAAGTCTGAAGGTTAACCAAATTAAATAAAATGTTGATTTTTTTTATGTTGTTCTGATTTTGCCAGGAACATAGTTCTTATCAATCACAGGTTCTTGTAAAAACATATGTAGACACTTTTCATTCTGGGCCAATGGATGTCCAGCAACCCTAAAAATAAAATAAACCAGCTTCATAAAATCTATGTGTTTTCAAAAAAATTCAAGCTTGATAATTTATGAATTGCTTTACACCAATAAAATAAATCCATATGCTGTTATTGTACCAAGTTGGTTATAAAGTCATATTTATCAATGATGGCAAAGATTTATGATATTTCAATCAAACTAGTACCTACAAGTATAACTTACATTCACATAATGAGTGAAAATATATAAGTATTCGATAATCATCACTTACTTGTTCACAAATTGTTCTAATCCTTTTTGTCTTTCATCAATAAACTCCTTTTCAAAAATACCATCATCACCTCGGAATGGAAGTTGTCTTTTCAGAGCTTTACCAGGTAGAGGAGGTACTACAATCTGAATTAAAATTAAACATTTTTATAAATAGATGTATCCTTCAATCATTCCTCTGTATCAATATTTTATTTTGAACATTAACCTTAACCAATAGTAGATATAGCAGACCTAAACAAACTTTATATGAATAATAAGTACATTGAATTGGCACATTATCAAAAATTTATCATTGTCAAATATTAAATTATCAAACAGTACAATTCATGAAAGAAAGTCAGAGAATAGAACCTAAATATAGCAAAACATCATTTCCAAGTCAGAAAAAAACAATATCTTACCTTGCTATCTCTTTCTAATTCATTCCGTAACCATTCAAAATCACTATATCTTCTCCTAGTTATAGATTCCTTTAGTTTAAATACTGGTAGATTTGTCTACAAAAAATAAGATCATTATAAAACCTTATCATTAAATTGGTGCTACTGTCAGTACAGCAAAGTTCACTGCTTATTCTAGGTGATGTGGAGTATCAGTATAAAAAGGAGTATTTATGGTCTTAAAATGCATTGTGATGTAAGAAATTGAAAATTATCAAAACTAATTAAAGTTTTTGAAGGATTGAAAAAATTTTGAATTCACTTTGAATTAATTTAGACCCAATATTGGGGCCACTATGGTTAGGTGCCATATTGACTATAGCCCCTCACAGGTACCCAGTATTTATGGTGATTCTGGCAGATCATTGATACTGATGGTTTGTCATTGAAACCCCTTAAAGGGATTGTTAAGAAATGAAATGATATGAATGGACGGGCAACGCCATGAGGGAAATTTTGCCAAGACAGCGGCATTAGCCTGCTCTTTTTCGATGTAGCACACAGGGCCTCAGTTTATTGTCCCATAGAAAAATCTGAAGATATTATCTCGTCCTATGCCGGGATTGAACCATGGACATTCAGGTTAGCAAGCAAGCGTCTTACTCACTGAGCCACCGCGGCTCCCGGATTGTTAAGAGGTTTTCTAAGTTTTTTGTGTGTTTCAAGTTGAACCATTCCAATCTTCAGTCAGATGTCTGTGGTTCCTTCAATTCCACTAAAACGTAGTGTTTAAAGATGTCACCAATCTCAATTTTGCTTGTATCACATAAGGCCCTTTGCAATAGTTATGTCATAAAGCGCTTAGTTTTAGGGAATTGAAGGAACTACAGACATCTGACTGAAGATTGGAATGGTTCAAATTTATGCTATAAAGATATTACACATAAAAAATTCTTTACAATTGCTTTAAATTTATTGAGTTTGCAAATCATTCTGGAAACATCTCCTATGTTTAAAAAAAATTAGCTGACTGAAGCCAAAGAATAATTTTACAAAATATAATTGAGGTTTACTGAATGGATTCCCATAATTATTTCTATCAAATATAAAATAATATTGAAATTTATTAACTGTACAAGATAAAGCCCTATCATTTTATTAAAATGAATTCTAGAATAAGAAACATATTCACAGATTCAATGAAATAGCCTTGCTGATAATACAAGTATTTGATGTCAAAAAGGGGGTGGAGACTTGATAAACAGACTTCATTGACACAACTAAACAGTGAAGTCTACATTTGATTTGCCTTTCTAAAGAGTATAAGATTGGAAACATATTTTCAGTATTCTCTATACAAACAATGTTAGAATAGATGTGAATGCTTTATTAGTTACATTTATCAATGACACATTAGCTATGAAACACTTCCGTTGACCAAGAAACAAAGATAAAACGACATTTTATTTCATACCCTCATTCGGACTTCATAATCGGTGTATCTTTTCTTCCCCACGCCATGAGTCTGTGGATCACCAACATCTATCTCAAGGAAATTGGCCGGCGGCGAATAAGCATCCTCTAAAGTTTGTTTTTTGGAGGAAATTCTCGCTGTAGCTACTCCCGAAGTCATTTGTCTGTGTTTAGTCTTCTTTTCTGTAATGGCCTCTTTTGCCAGCAGTTAACTCCCCTTATTAAATCAGAACAGGGGGAGGTAACTGGGAAAATCAATTTACACTACAGGACACGGTTAATTCACTAGACCACATTCCATAGGGTTCTTTAATAAAAATTGCGCAACATAAGTAATTTGATTTTCAAAATCCTCCGATTTCACATAGATTCTTAACCCTTGATAGTGATAAGATTGGCCTACAGTCATTTTAGGCATCAATACAACAGTGGCTGATAAAAGTAGAATGTGTGAATATGTAAGCTGTAGGCCTATTTCTGTTTAACTGAACTACACCAGCCTACATTACTAGTTATGTAATATTTTCTCAGACAAAATTAATATGGCGACGCCACGAAATGCCCCCACGGCATTTTACACGGATAGCAACTTTCGACTAGCTGGTTGGCAGAACCTCTTGGCATTGATCTTGCCCGATTTACCTGTACCAATTTACTGATATTTTGATGAATGACACTGCATGGTGGCTGACAAAATCAGCTTTCATCAAATATTAATTACCTTTATCTTTCCCTGCCCAAGAGATAAGGCAATTGCCCCAGAAAAATAGTCTTTAATATCAAAATAACAATGTAACAAAAATATACAACTATTGATATTAGTTTTAAAATAAAGTATAACATTTAGTATACATTGCCAATTTCCGTAAACAATGGCAAGGTAAATGGCTCAAATTTTGACTAGAGTATCCTGTCTAAAACTTTATTAACAGGTTATTTACAGCTTTGCTCCTTGGCATTTCTTCAGTCACCGGCGATATGTCGTCGAGGTCGTGGAATTGAAAAATGTGTCGATAAATTGCCTATAATAGAAAAAGCACAAATATCAGAGACAGGAGACAGATTGACTCAATGGGCGGACAACTGTCGAGGCTGAATTTAAAATGCGGCAACTGTCCAGGCACTGCCAGTGACAAAAATGCTAACTTAACCAAATTATTTGAGGAGCTCTTAGCCACACTATCGTCTCAATTTCCCAGTATTTATGCTCTCTGGAATGAAATCGGTCACGATATTAAGCTATGACGCCTGGGACTAGATGAGTCGATACATTCTAACACCGGGGCTAGTTTTTTATTATGAAATATAGTTAGACGATTTGGTATTTTATTTGTTGATGGCGACCAAGTTGAGTAAGGAGACGTTGCCGATTCTTCTTCCGATTCTTCTGTTTCTGGCTCTGAAATATCATAAAATTAACTTTTTTATTCTTTATTGTTCCGATTAAAAATCGACGGTGTCTCTTTTCCCAACCGCTTATAGACTATATTATACCTATCCAATAGACCAAAACTCAGAAGTAAACATTTCGGAGAATCAATAAGACAGGACGGGCAAATGCATCAAATCGACTTGGTCGAATGCCATTTGGTTTGAAATCAAAGGATGCGCTTAGTTTCAATTTCATACTTCCAACAATGGGTTTGATTAAAGAATAGCGATGATACACTGAACAGAAGACGTTTAACAAGAGACATCTAATATTTACAGTACCTGTTGTGATGACAACTTTAGGAGTGGATCTCATATTGGATATAATGTCAGGCTCTGGCGATCCATTATATAAACCTCGTATACCCAAATAAGGTACAATAGCCATTGCTACCAGCTTTTCCAAGTTAAAGGCATTTTCTGTTGAGAAACCACAATCTTGAACTCCTTGTAAAACCAGTAACATTTGTTTTATATTTGGTGGAATGAATGTCGCTGTTCGCAAAGCATCTGAAACATTTTAAGGGTTATGAAAGTATAATTAATTATTATGAGCAACATATTCAATTAAGGGAATAAAATTAGTCAAATTTTATACACTGGAAAATAAAATGGTCTAGATGTGTATATTTTGACGGTTCCTGGATGAGCAAAAATATCCTTTTACTCGATTATATGCTGATGTATATGAATGCTAGTTTCAAAAATGATTCAAAGCTTCTGGATTCAATCGTCAAGAATTATTTTCCTTGGTTGATGTACATAATTTGTACGTACCGTATGAGCTAACTTTCAACAAGACGATGTTTCTAAATTCCAATAAAGTAACATCTCTGATTGACCTCTCTATATTCTGAAAACAACCGGTAAGATTTTGAAAATAAATTAAGATTCTACTGGCTTTGTTGATTCCGAAAATATAACGGCTTTCGAAAGTAAAGTGCAACATATTATATTTCATTGTTTAATGTTGGCAGCATAGTTGCCGGTATTCTAACGTAAAACGCACGGTCAATTTCGTACAGTGCAACACCATTGATTCATATTATTGAAAAAAATCTACAAATTCAAACGCTGAGATGGTTTGCACCAAGAGAATCTCTAAATTCTGTGAATTTTAACATTGAATAAGGGCAAATCAAGAGAAATAACAATCCGAAGCCCGAAGATGTAAAATAAGATGATATATAAACTACCTTCAATGGTAATAAAATTGCTTGTAAATATGGTAACATCTCTTTAAAGAATCCATCCCAAGTATCACCCAATAATCTCAATAAATCTGCTCCTGTAATGCAATATTCAAGTAGATATATAGTATTGGTTTATAATGTAGCCAAGATTAAAGAGTTAATTCTGCTGAGACTAGAAATTATTTTCTATTCGCGAGATGTCGTACATATTAGCAATTCCCAGAAGACATTGTGACGAGAACTCTTTCAAATGTCAAATGACCTCAATGTATTTTAAAATAGGCTATGTACTGACTGACCTCTTTCATTTTTCAATCTTTCTCTTAAAATAACCATACCCTTTTTCAATAACTGGTCCTAAAACAGACAATTTTATCAAATTAAATCCTTCATCAGAGAGAGCACAACCCCATTAATGATCCAAAATAAAATACCTTATATCAAAATGATGGCTTACAGCAATAGATAATACAGTTTGGGGTGCCCCAACATTTTCGGATAAATATTTTTTGAATAAAAAAAATCGCATTTTTCCCTTTAGTTATTATGCGGAAATAGAGATAAAACAACCTTAAACATTGACGCCAAGTTCGCTCTACAATGGTATTTCAGAATCTTTTATCATTCCGTATATCTGTTGTCAATCGTACATACTTTAGATGTATCATAAATAGAAACAATTAAAATTCAATGGGGCCATTTTATGTTATTAGATTAATCTTACCTTATAATAATCAAATATCAACGGACCAGCTTCTGTATCTGATAAATACCTGAAATAATTTATCATTATATACAATTGCATACAATGTAAAATAAACAATAATCGCCAAAGAATGTTATATTGTGTTTTGTAGATACTGTTTATAAGACATATAGATATAGGCATAATAGATTCAAAAATATTGGAATGCCATATTTACGTAATACCATTTGTTTTCAAATCTGTCTAAATCTTGCCCTACTAAACGAATAATGTGGTAACTAAGCTGCCAGCACTTTTTCCGTAAAATTAACAGGAAAGGATTTGCAGTGCATTACAAAACGTTAAACGAAAGATTCATTTTCTAGAACTCAGGGACGTGGCTTGGATTGTAGGAGCAATGAGGCTCTACAAAAGAAAGGAGAACAAGATATATGAATAAACTCCTTATAAAATCATTATTTCACATGCTCATGCTCGGTTACGTTTTGAAAAAGAAAATTCATTTTTTATTTATGACCGAAAGATTTAATAGCAAGTAAACATGGTATTGATCATAATATATAGGAATACAGAACTAATTAATGTGCCTAGAGAAATCCTTCTATGTATAAATATCCAGACTGAAGCCTACCTGACATTTTCCTGTAATTTACCCAGTTCATTTTCTCTCAAACCTTTATTTTGAAACAAATGAATAATGGCTGTCTGGATGCTGAAAATAAAGGAAATATGATCTGGCTATGCTTCAACATTCACAATCAATAGACAAAATTTTTTCATAGTAACTTATTTCATTTCACACAGGGTAAGACATGTCGAATTTTTTGCTTAATACGCACAGAGAGAGTCGACTATTGCTATAGAAACAGGTGCCTGTATCAATACGTCAGCGTCATTTTAACCTCATGAGAAATTTTGAAGCTTTGTGGGCAATCACTGTTCATTTGATGCAAAGTTTCTTTCGCTTGTTTCATTATATAACATATCCGTGTCCGACAGCAAACCCTCGATTACCACGCCAAATGAAACGATAAAATAATTCTAGTAATTCAATGCTGTATTTCAAAAGGAAATAAAAGAATTTTGGACAATGCACAAAATAGTAAATGAAATGAAATAAATGGAGTTTTACGTCCTACTTTTCTGCACCGTTGGGCTAATAAAGACGGGACAAAATACTAAAGATACCCTAGATTATTCTATATCTCCCCACCTTTCTAGTTGTTCTTGGCGGTTCGAAGCATCAGAAGTTGTTAATGCTGGTAAGAAAGTTGGTAAAGTTGATCCTCGTCTGCCATCTCGAGGTAATCTTGTACCAATATCAATATTAGCTAAACTATGTCTGAAATTTACATATAAGATACATACATACAAGGCAATTTGGTAGACAGATATGTTTATGCGATTCCAGTGCTTATTTGGTTATCTAATCACTGATCATGTATAGCCATGGCTTCACTTGGTAATGACATCTATATTCCAATTGGTTTTTGTCAGTTTGGTGAAATCAGCTTCATCAGCTGACGATATCTGGACGACTAAATCCCTTGTTACTATAATATTCAAAACTTGTGCCTTGTGAAATTTCTTCTCAGGAAAAGATCTATGTTTGAAATGTTTCCTGAAGTTCTACTAAGTATGAAGAACAGACAGCATAACGATTTATCAGAGAAATACACGACTTTCTATTATAAAGAACAGTCGAAAAAGATCATATCTCTCCTCATTATTTTAAAACAAATTTAAAACACATTTATAGCAGTAGTGCATCATAATATAAAACTCACTCTGTCATTGTCTCTACGTTATCCATGTATAACAAGTTAGAAGAAATTTATTGTGAAAATTAATTATCACTACTAGGCCTATAACATCCGGATTATGCTCTATATAACACTGACAGAATATTCATTATCATACAAACATTAAGAGTAAATAATGATAAATGATTATCTTGGACTAAACAGGTCAATAATACAGTCATAAATGGGTCAATTATGATTACACTAGCTCAGATGCATGAAGGGAAAGTTGTACCACTTATGTAACATGCACACAAATGTGTTACCATGAAAGCTAAAATTCTAAAAAAACATACATACTAAAATACTATGAGCTCCTTAAAGGTGGGAATAGACTATGAATGTCCGGTGCAGTAGAAAATAGTAGAAGCTAATCGTATCCGCACCGTGTCCGGACCCGTACCTCGTATGTTCACATGTTTTATTTTCTACTGTATCGATTATCCGGCACCGTATACCGCACCGGACACCGTACGTCTGTTCCCACCTTTACACAGTACAGTACACAGAAATGGGTCTGACAGCCCCCACACTTTCGAATTTCTTATCGTTGTTCATGTAAAAACAATTGCTTGCTAATTCTGTGTCAACGATTCCTAGTAAAGCCACTGATTAGACATATAGTTAACATTACGTAGTGACAATCCCGATCGAATCTTTAAGTCTTGTTCTATTTTTACACACTGAATAAAGGCTAAAAAAAGTGTAATGCATAAACAGATATAAAAGGATATAAAATAGAAATTATGTGTTGGTTATCAATAAAATAATATCCTTAAGAATTTATTACCGCAAAGCTCCTGTCGATAAAACTCATGTCATCAGCAGATGTCGGGTAATTGTTCAAAGGTCGTTCACCGTCAACATTTTAAAAACAACATTCTTTATGGACACATATTTATACAATTTATGCCCCAAAAAAATTTCAGAAGAAATGGAAGATCTTGCATGATAAGACTTTGTTAATCTAGATGACATGCTTTCATGCGTTTTATGCATAAGTAATTTCTTTTCAGCAAAAATAGATTCAAATATAGATGGTTATATAGTGACCTAGTTTGGGTATGGGACTGTCTTTCAAGTTTCTGTCATGGCCCCCAGTCCTCAGGCCTTTGAAAGGCCAATTTTGAAGTGTAAACTGAGACCTCTTAGTGCCTAAAATCCATCTCAGATCATCTGAAATCCATTGCATCTATGTTCCTGAATGGATAATATTGTACCGTTGCTAAAGGAACATGGGAGGCCTCTGGGGGGTCGGGGCCTCGCCTCAGAGAGACACACCTCTCCGTTTCGCAACCCTATCCCTCTCAGACATTTTCTAACCATGCTTTCTCTCTGACCCTCAAAATCATCTGTCTGTGCCTGTCCGGATCAGAATTTAATATTTTGATCGGGTGAGAAGAACAATACATCCAATTAATGGTTAGCACAATGACTACAGTTTTCTATGGTCAGAAGCAATAGAAGTGTGTATTAGGTTATAAAATTATTATTTGGAAAAATTAAATCTAAATATCGGTATGGTACAATGTATTTGATAATATTGTTTTAGTCGACTATTTTTATGATACATACTGCGTTACACAATTTGTGTAATTACTTTTTTGTGATTCTGTTGGTTTAATTTAAATAGATTACGTAATATCAATGTTATTTCATTCAATTTAAAATATTTTAAGAGATCAAGTAACTTAAAATCAATTTTAATTAGGAAATCAAACGCAAGTTTCGTTTATAGTGAAATAGTACCGAATTGTATGATCTCCAAATAAGTCTGAGGTTGCCCAATCTTCACAAGATTAAGCTATTTGGAATTGCGTCTTATACCTTGAGCGTTTGAAAATGCAGCGATATGATCGAACTGTACGCAAGTGAATGCAATTAATCAGAACACAGAAATTCTGTAAAGTGCTAAGTCAAAAGTGTAGTCTTTTTGTCGCCTTGATTGGCTGTATTCGCTGACATACAATCCAATCAAATCACTGCATTTTGTGCGCATGGAAGCGGATAATGATGTTAAGGTATTAAACGAAGTTTGTAATATCTTGACACTCTGAAGATGTGGGTTTCCCATGCTTCAAGTTAAATTCGGGAAAACTACACCGAAGATCAGGAAAATTGAGATTAAATCATACTGCCCTCACTTCAATCGATTATAGAAATTAGTCTTTTCAGTCTTTTCTTTTTGCAGACAAACTGTATGTCGAATTTAACTACAAGAGTGGCAAGAGTAGCTGACATTTTATAAGTTTATAACAACATGTATATACATCTATCATATACAATCCATTGTTTTATAGTTGATGTTAATATTTGAATATTATATTTATAGAATTATATTCATAATAAATCATTTATTTTGACACTCGACACATGTTTTAAGGTGTAATAAATTTTATACAGTCCTCGGGCCACCCGGCCAACAGGAACCTGGCTATATATTTAGATGATTTCAGTTTTTGAAATTCTTTTCAATGAGAGGTCTTTCTCCAGTTACCCAATGAAGACAAGATATGAATCTGAATGTTTGTAATCATTTATGATCATGATAATATTATAATCGTCTAATAAAAAAATGTTTTTGAAAGGTCTCACCCATGACCGATTTTCTCCAAGGAGCCACTGCTATGGAATTCCATAATAAAACTAAAAGTGTGTCAACGTTTTAGACAACAGCACCAAGAATAAATTGTTTGACAATTCCAAGATAACAATCTGTTCTTACCTTTTTAAATGAGAGACACGTGTGGTAGTTCCCATAAAAGACATTTCTGCTTTAAATTTTTCCAGATGTATCAAAATGGTATATTACACGAACAATAGGTTAGTTAACTAGAACTGGATATACTATCATTATGAATTCGTGTACTTCATCAAACTCAGTGCATTTGTCACAGTAGATGTATCAAACTTTAACGCAATGTCACCTTCGGCAATGAATTATTTCATATAAACACAGTATTCACTATTATTGGTTGCGTCTTATCGTTGATTGTGACTTTTCCTTGTGGCAAAATGTAATGGGATGACAAGGTGTGTTTATTATATTGACATCAGGTAGACCTAGGTATATATTGGTTATGATATACGATGTCAAATGCTATAAAATCTTAATAGCACCAATTAGAATTTTATAATATTTATATCTCCCTATAATCAATAGGAGACTAAATAGCTGACTATAAAATTGTCACTTAGCACATTTACTATATTTAGTTCAGTGAATTTGCTTACTTGTGTATCATTGTAATAGAAGAACATGAAACATTGCAGTGGCGGAGCCAGGTTTACGTCGGAAGGTGGTGGGGGGGGGGGGGATACCTGAGATTGCCTGAATTTCTAAACAAATTATGATATTTTTTCCCCCTCCCCTCCCCTTGGCTCCGCCACTGAAACATTGCATTGCTTTATTTAGCAATATGAATACTTGCTATAGCTCAAGATTTTTCATACTAAGTAACAAGAAAAGTATATCAACCTATATACTACAATCCATATTCAATGATATAAATCAAATATATGCACTGTATTAAAAATCTGGGGAAACAGGTTGGCTGAAGCAATGCGATATTTTCTGGAGCTCAATTTAAATACCAGAGAAAGATATGTAGATAATCAATGTCAGTATGCATAAACTATAACTACTTTGTTGCCGAGGATATCTTATAAGTTATATGGTCGTTTTTAAGCACCGTATTGTGAGCTAATAACGAAATATATTCATTCGTAATGATAAAATAAACGTCAAATAAAACGTTAGATTACTTCTGTCGTAGTGGGTGGATGTCAATTATTAAACAAAAACATAAAACTTTAATAGACTTTGATATAAGACATTTCCCGACTTTCCCAGAATACAATGTCAGATTATGAATTCTAAAGTTGCTCTTTTGATCAGTGATTTGCAATGCAGATCAATGTTTAGTTTCATCATCCCCTTGGTAGGACCCCTGCATAAGTTATGATCCATTCTATATTGTGTGTTAACCTTTTAGATACTTGCTGCGGTATTTTTTTGTTTTAATTTTGTAATTTTTTTTCTAGTGATGTGGTCAATATTAGTTGAGCCACTGTCAAATTTGTGGCACAGTATACAGAGCACTTTCTGACATAAGCTAGTGATTTAAGAGAAGTAATATCCTATGGGACCAATATCAGTTCAAAGAGAGAATGGATATATTGTCAGTTGGTAATAAAATTTCTCGACAATCATCCTTTAATAAGGAAGCGTTTACGTCAGTTAAATAAAAATCACGAGATAAAAGAATACGGAAAACTTTTGAATAATGATTGACTACTGTTTGATGTGTTTGTGCTACTTCCAATAATATTAACTTTATCTTTAATGATGTAAAGGGATTGTTAACACGTTTTCTAACAATTTTATTTGTTCCGGGGACAATGATGGCATCAATTTGAACCGTCCAATTTTCAGTCAGACGACTGTGTTTCCTGTAATTCAATAAAAAGTAGGCGTGTTTTTGACATCACTAATTGCAAAATTTATGCTTTATCACATAAGGCCTTTAATCAAATTGATTAATAAAATCATCAATCATTTATTTTTATTTGAACCACAGACGTCTGATTAAAAATTGAAGTGGTGAAAACTGATGCTATCAGTGTCCCAGACAGACATAAAAAAAACTCTTGACAATCCCTTTAATATGAAATTAGTGCACTTAAAGCTTCCGTGAAATATGCTATTGCTATTTAGAAGAGATTTTAGAGAGGGATAGGGGAATATAAATTGTGGAATTAAAAGCCGTAAATGTACCGAATGAAGGCCTACCAATATTGCTGATATGAGATCATTATTCAAAAGCTGTTTCGGGTATATCCTTATCGGGAAAGTATTGGAATAGGAAGTCAGCTCATGCTATGTACAAGTGCCCGAGGTAACCTTACTACATTCATTTGTAAAAAAAACTACGGGACTGAAACGAACGATTTCCAGCCCAACTTGTATCTTTACCAGTCTAATTTATATCCGTAACCTGAATAGGAAAGATACCAAATATTACAGAAGTAAAATTTATCATTATCAACAAAAACAAAATGCAGGTTTAATGAATTATACTTTTATTACAGGAAAGTAAAATCATGAATGAGGAATGTATGAAATAAATACTTATAAATATTTATTATGTACATGAAAAACACACTATTTAAAACTAATTATCTGGGGTAGTCTGGTCTGGTTCATACTGTTGTAACTGAAAAAGATAATACAAATTTGTTAATTGGATAATGGAAATACAATTTGTAAGTGGTATTGCCTATGCAACAAGATTTCAAAAATTCTGATCAGCTTTAATAAATAAGCCTTACTTGATACAAATGATATTGTACCACATTCATATGAAACTGTGCGTGGTTCTTACATGGAAATAACACACAGGAACATAGTTCACAACCACTTTGAATCTTCCTCAACAAAATAAGTCGAATTTTCAAAAAGGTTATGATATTTCATCAAAGCCTATTTCAACAAACTTTGACTTATTAAGTCGAGGAAGGGATTGTTCATGTGTGTTATTTCCATGTAAGAATCATACATAGTTTCTTATGTACACTTAAATACCTTGGATTGAAAACTTGAGGCCAAAAGGCACACTTACTTTACCAAAAATTTTCCAAGCAACCACCATGGATCCTATAAGTTAATCTAAGTTAATCCTATTCTTTCCATGGTTGAAATCTATAATCTGTTTTTAAAGGTAAAAGGATACATGCCTAGTTATGTAATAAGCTTATATTATGCACATAAAGTTGTTGAAGGAAATCAAAATTAAACTCACTTTGGCTTTTAGATCATTATTTTCTTCCTGAAGATGTTCAATTTTTTGTTGCAATTCTGTGACCTCTAGTTTCAAAGCTTCAACATCGGCAGTTTCGGGGCTTGAGGCACCAAGATGTTGTCGTAAAAAACTTAGATTAGTAGTTAAAGAAAAAATATCTAGATACCAGAACTTTTTTCTACAGGCTGTAAAAGGGCATTTGAAACTGTATTTTTCAGTCATGAATAATTAATCTCAAAATATCTGGCTAAAGCTCTGACTTTTTCAGGCCCAGCCTAATCAAATTGCCCTCCCTAATCAAATTACAAAGGTAATACGAAGAACTATTCATTACGTTCACTGTTCACAGGTCAAATAAGCTCCCAGGAAAACTGACCTGGGTCAACAGTGTTTTAAATATTTTGCTTTTTCATGGTTATGAATTTAAGTATTTCAAATGGAAATATACTTTATTGCACTCCTTGTTTGTGTATGAAAACATTGATAAAGGATACTCTAATGCATTGTTAGGCTTTTCTGGTTCTTCATATAATCCAACCAAAACTGAAAGAATAAAAGAATTTGTTTATGTTTTTTCTCATGTCACTCGGATAAGGAAAATTGTATTTGTTAGCATATTCAATTTCATACTTAATACCACTACTTTGATTCATCATCATTCATGTGGACATTGCCTTTTTCCTTATCATTTCTTAGGTATGATAAGTTGAACATCACTCCCAACACTGTTTCTATTACATTCCATGTATTACAACCAACATAATATATACCTTTTGTAAGAACATCTAATACTCCAGCTTTTTCTAAATATTTTCTATATTCTTCTCTCTTGGAGTCTGCTGCCTGTAAAAAGAAAAATATTTTGGTAACTCCCCACACATGTTAAGAAGTAGAACATTAAATGTTCTGGTCACAATCAGTTCAAAAAATGTAGGGAGAATCAAAGGTCTATATTTGATAATAATATTGATATTCATAATATATCATATATGTCATATTACTATAAGGTCGACTAGTACTAGGCCTGGAATCAAAGGACAAGTCTTAAATGAAAATGGTACATTAAACTAAACAAGTACCGGTACAATTAGCTATTTCTGAGTAATTTAAGTTACTAAGTTACATGGCCTGTATTATTTAACCACAAATCATCAAATTGTAAATTGTGTTCATGATTCAATCAATCAACAACATTGACTGTCATTACAATTGACATAAAATATGCCATAAAAAGGTTCTCACTTGACACAGACAATTCATGAGAATGACAAGACTTTGACTATATAACAACATAGACAATGAATGCATGAACTTAAATGGGTTTCAGCAGGCCCGACAGAGATCAGATTGCAGACCAACAGAAGGCAAAAGTGAGACTCGTGAAAAAGTATGTACACTAGTCCTCAAAGGAAAGGGAAGAACATAAAAACCCCTTCTTCCGTTTTTTAGAATCAGTCAAAACCTTAGTTTTAGTGAGGTATTTTGAAGCGTGTTATCTTACTGTTAGGACTTAAACACTGTTCAACATATTCTTAAATCTATATTCACCTTGTAAGCCGTCATTTTTCTGTCTTTTCCGTTATTTCTGAGACTGGTGTCAGTTTGTGAGAGTAAATTTCAATGTCCGTGCTGTTGCTACAATTCAAAGCGCATGCGTCTTAATGTAAATGACTGTAGATCACGTTAACCAGACACAAATAGTGTTTAGTTTCCTAGCAACAGTTGTGGTAACGGTAACGTGTGCACGCGGGGCATGGATTTGTGGTCAAAGGGAGATAACATAATTATTTCATGGAGTTTGACTTGATGGGAGGTAACTCTACTGAACTTGATGTCCTAAGTGGGAACATAAAACTGTAAATATTACAGTTCTATGGTGCAATGTATTAAAAAGTCTATGATGGCTAGTGCTGGGAATCGAATTTAAAATTATCATCGATTATCGGCAATATATCGTTAGGCATTTCCGATCGATAATCGATAAAAATCGTAATGTTGATACTCAAATTTTAGGTCAAGTAGTCGACTCATTTCAAGTACTATTTAGGCTGCCTACCACTTACTTGTATGTATACTAGTGTTAGATGCTAGTATGTGTATTGTGTTTATTATCATGTTTTTCGCTATGTGGCCAATCTTTTTGTTTTAAAGACGTTTGGAAGATTAGTTTTCGTCATTATCGTCATCATTGGCATAAATGTACCGTTGAATGGTAAAAATAATTGACTTCATCACACGTTCTTGACAACCAAGACTAAAATACTAAGCACCGTTGTTTTACGAATTTTGATTAGCCTTCTATTTATAAACAGCACTGATTATCCAATCAGCATTGTCGTTACGTAATTAGACTTGATAAAAAAAGGGAGACAACTACAATCGTGTGAAAAATAAAGGGAAAGTCATGCCCAAAAATGGACTCACTCCACTAATTCATTTGCCATCTCTTCCCATGTTAAAACACGAAATTCAACCTTCTATAACTTTTTCCAGAAATCTCGTTGAAAGCTTTCCAACATGTCGAATGAAAGCCTGACCAATTCTCAATGTCTCCTAAAAAATTCATTATATGATGACCATGAAAATTTTGAGCTACTAAAATTGAAAGTAGACTACTACCGGTTATACTCATCCGCTAGAGTTTGGCACTTCACAAAACGACTATTTTTAGAATTAGCCTTCCGCCTTTAAGTCTCTCATCATCTCACCAAATCTGAAAGATAATGCAATTTCAGACATCAAATTCCAAATTAGACCAAATTTTACCCAAAAATAGGCAGGCAAAAACCCCAAAAGGGAGAGAGAAAGAAGATTTCTAAAAATAGCCTGGACTACATTCCTCCTGTATTCAGTTAATTATATATAATAACAAATGTTTGTACTAATTTATTGTGAATGAAATTTTTCTTATTAATGATTGTTATGATCATATACAATCAAAGAAATGGAAGAACATACGAGAATAAAGACTTAAGCTTAGTTTATTTTGCTGTACGTGACTGCCGAAAGCGTGTTTTTATTATGGTCCCGGGATTAATTTAACAGAATTACCGGAGGTTATGTTATTTTTTGCGATAATCGATTTTGAAATGAACCATCGATTATCGTTATCGGTACATGACATAAGAGCGATAATCGATTTTTCGATAATTATTCCCAGCACTAATGGTGGGAGCCAAGAACCGAAACATGTCTTCTAAATGCAGTGGTCCATAAATGAATTGAATAAATCTTGTTTTATCTAAGTCATAGAACTCATAGTTTCCGTCCGAGTGTCTCACAAATCCCCGTTTTCTCAGATATTCTTTCAACTTCAACAACAAATTTTCACATAATAGCTCTTATCTGCCCGTACTAGTTCATCCCCTCAACATTCTTTATTATACATTACGGTATATTACATAAATTACGGTACATTACAAAATAGTCTCTCCTGAAGAGGGAGATAACTCCTTTTGAAGAAATTCTAAGAAAGCGCGAATGAACGTCAGAATCTCTAAATTTTGTGTAAGATTTTTTGTTTTTACCCAATAGAAACAAAGTCCAGGGCATGGTTAACCCCACAGATTTGTGAGTTTCACTGCGGGGTTTATTTGTCATGACAGTTATTTATGCGTCATGTCAGGAAACTTTGGTCTCTTCATGAAACTCAAACATCAAACCAAGATTCCATTTCCAAGAAATTGAAATTGTTGCAGTAGCCAGTAGGATGTGATTAAAATCATGGAAAAAACATACAATACTAATAGTGGGACCATCAGATCCTCAGGTGATGTTTGAGGAGGAGGGGGGGGGGGGGGGTAAAGCATAGCAAGCTACACGTTTTGATAATGTTTTCTTGTTGATAAAAGTCATTAGTTTATTTTTAATTTTGTTTTTAGAGGGCATGGATTACCTATCAGATGTACATAGTTGTTGTAGAGCTTTAGTTTCAGATAAAATTACAGAAAGAAAGGTACAATAATTTCAAAGTATTTTCTTGCTGGATTGGAGTATGACACAATTATTACTAAAGTGTAAAAGTGTCAGTTAGGAACAATTGTGTTATTAACTTTTAATTAACGTGGAATCTTCTCTTTAACCATTCAAATTTAAATTTGACATGGTCTTCACTAGACTCAATTTCAAACATCCATTTCATATTTCATAATTTTATTGCCATGTATCCATACAAATGAACAAATTATTGATTCATTTTCAGAAAAGTGCAGAAAGGTTACATCAATTGCTGGGAAAGACCACTGTAATTCAAACCATAGATATAAATTCAGATGAAAAACCAAGTAAAAAGAGCAGGCGTCTTCTAACATGGGATGACATATTTAAGGTAAACCTCTGTTAATGTGAATTGACATGCTCAAAAAATTAATCTTTCAGGTCATTGGCACTGGTCAATTGATAATCGTTAGATATTCTCATTACAAGTTTCAGTATTGGTTTCATGTGGTCTTAGTTGCAGATTTCATTTGATTTATTACTAGAATTAATTTTTAAGAACTTTCTCAACTTCCCTCAAAGCAAGTCATTGTTTTCTTCAGGCAGTGATTCAATATGTTCAAATTGAAACAGAGCATATAAAGAAAGGAAAATCTACTTCTGCCACCTCACAACAAACTAAAGAAAAGAAGAAACAGGAAGTTAGTGGTTTAGTAAAGTATGTTGTTAAAACAGCTGATAAACGTGAGTTTGAATATAATGAAGGAATAGCCTGAGAATGTCTAATCTTATATTTTACTTTATATCAGCATTATCCATGCTATATCAGTCCATTGGTCAAGTCCCAAAAAAATCATTACAGTTTAACAGTTCATTTTACTGTGGCTATTTGAATGATCTTGAATGATCTGAACTGGCTATTGGACTCATTTACTACCCACCTCATTTAGTTTGCTTGCACTCTGTGGTGTATCATGCAAATCTTATCTTGTGATTTACTGTCATCTGGACTGAATATACCATATATAAATTCAGAAACTGGAGACTTTTCTCCAAACCTGTAAAGGCTCAAAACTAGTGTATGTCCATCATTGATATCTGTTCTGTATTGGAATGATATGATATAATTGTCCTACTGTTTCAGGTGGTCCCAGATTAAAGTGGAATAGCTTAGTAACAAGTATATTAGAAATTTTAGCTGATGACTATATGTGTGCTTCGTACGGTTTAGATTTTAGTAACATATTGATGAAAAATGTGCTACCTGTAAGGAAATATTGGATTGAACTCAAGCCTGAATCATGGCATGGTATGTTATAAGTTATCTAGAAATTTTCTTTATACAGATTAAGATACAAAACCAGATAATTATGTCATCTCAAATATCTTCTGTGGATTACTTCTCAATGAGTTAAGATTGAAGCGATCCACTGAAATATATGATGGTACCATGAAATTTCACTAATGTCTGAGAAGCATGTAAAATCTAGATGTGGCAATACTGAAGTATTGTAAATGTTTCACTGAAACCTCAAAATGTTTTAATGTTTTGTAAAGTTATATTTCATATTTGGAAATGGTTTTGTTTTGTAGATTTATTGAGAGAATATTTTAAGTTATTTGTTGATGAAGAGTGTAAACTAGATCGTGTTCTGATGGCTAGGTTGATTCATCTTCTTCTTTCTGGTGCCTCAAGACAATGTGATTTACATCCAAAGAAAATATTCCAGTTTTATACTGAAGTATTTAAAAACATCAGGTAAGAGTTGCCCTATATATATGAACTTAATACATGGAAATATTCAACACATGTAGAATATATTATTGAATAATACATAATATTGAAGTATATAAACAAAATCAATAATCCTAAAATTACGATAAAAGTTGCATTTGTTTATTAAGTCATGGTGCGCTTTCTCTTATTAAAGTATAGCCTATGTGAAACATCAACAAATTTGAACATATTTATACTGAGTTGTAGTACCAATTTCCATTTATAACTTTTAAGGTCACAATAGAAAAATACAACACAACATGAATTATCCCCTGTAGTATTTTAAGGCATTTGACATCAACATTTTTTGTATTTTGTAGATCAGAAAAAGCAACGAAGGTTTTAGAACATATATTATCATCATTAAATATATTTGTTCTATCAGTAGCATCTAATTCACGGTTACAAGTGTGTAAATTAGGAGAGAATATCTTCATTAATCTCCTGTATTTATGGAACAATAGACCCTCACCTATTATGAAGGTATTAGTTATTATAGCACAAGTAATAGGGTATTTAGGAGTCTTTACAGATGAAACTCTTAGATTTCTTATGTTCACTGGTTCAATCAATCTACTCATGATGGAATACTTATACTTCAAATAAGTATTACTGAATATGGAAACAATATGGAATGTGTGGTTGTGTCAATTCATAGGACTTCAACCTTTTCTCAATGGATTCAGAATAATCTTTTTTTGAATTTTGTAATAAATAAAAAGTTAGCATTTTGTTGTTACAGGATGAAATAGTATCATTTCTGAGTATCCAGTTACAATCACACCATCCTGGTGGTTCAAAAAGTACAGCTAATGGTGCTTTTGCTCTTGATTGGGATCAGTGGATGGTGAGACTCTATCTATAATATTTCCAAATTATTTTGACATTCTTGTCTACTTGTCACATATTTATAAGAATTTTTCTGCAAAATAACTTTCTATGTTGAGGGAAACTTGCTTTGAATTGAATTCTTTTAATTTATATTTAAGTGTGTGGTTTCTTATAATTTGATGAATATTTTAGAGTCATTTGCGTAAGCTATATGAAGTGCTTTATACAGATTTGAAAGAAATGGGAGGCAGACACAGATTTTCATCAAGGTAAAACATTATATTTTGTTCCAGAATATCCAGTCAATAAGCAGTATATATTACACATCTGATTAGGTTTGCATCTATATGCACCTTCATATGTTGTCTTTTTGTCTCTTTCAGTAAAGATTTTGCTTTGAAACAAGATTATGTTGAATTAGCAGCTGATGTTTGTCACCAGGTAAGAGAGTGCTGAGTTTTATTTAAAAAATGATGCAGTAAGAAAAGAATTAGAGAAACTCATCAGAGCAATAAGAGAATAACTGCATTGTTTTATGAAAGAAAGTTGATTTGAGATCAATTCACTTAAATTCTAAATTAGCACAGTTTCAGTACTTTTAGGAAGTTTTAAAAATTTTGGACTTTACTTTCCTAGCTATTTGATGACACCGCCACTACCATAGACGTAACACAGTTACCATCAACCAGTACTAATGGTACACCGGCTAAAAAACGTCGACTACTATCAGGCTGGTCAACATTAAGAGATATTATAATACAGTTTAGCAACGTAATGCAAGTTATACCCTGGTAAGCCATGGTTAATCCTTAATCTTGTGAAACACTTCTTGTCATTTAATCATTGAGTTCGTCAACTCGGCATCCATTTCAAAGAGTATGTGTATTTATTGATTTATATTGTGCTAAAATGGAAAAATTCTTATGGATTACAATTACTAACTTTATTTGAGAGATGTTTCGGCCAGTGTTCTCTGATCTTTATCAAGCAATGAATGAACACTGGCCGAAAAGTCGCTCAAATAAAGTTAGTAATTGTAATCCATAAGAATTTTTTCATTATATCCAACACCTTTACTAAATGCCATTCAAAGATCTTATATTGTGCTGTTATCCATAATGTTCAGTGCATGTTTAAAATTTATTTACAATGTGAGGAAGGTGATGAGCTGAAATTTTTGAATATTTATGTTTTGTAGGTTACAGTTATTAAGTCGAGTAATTGAAAAATATCCTAATGACATTCCTCAAGATGAACTTAAACCTATTCTAGACAGTCTTGTACATATATTAGAAGACTGTAAGAGGTGTGTAGTGTGTATAAGTATCATCATTTCTGTCTCTTGAAATAGTCATTAGCTAACCAGTATTCATTTAAATCTGCAAAGGGATAATATATCAAAAATGTAGTTATGACACATGCTACAGCAATATATTAGGATATTCCCTAACATAAGACTAAGAAATTAATGACTTTGATTATAATTGAATGTTCCTTAAAATTATTTCTGAACAGAATAAATGCCTCACATTTAAAACCTTTTCATTTGTTTGACAGGAGTGAAATATTAAAACAGGTATTGATATGTTTAAAGAAGATTATTGAGGGATATCCAGTATTACATGTTATATATCCAGATTTACTAAAAGACTGTCAAGTATATTGGCAGAAAATATGGTCAGCAACACTGAGGTAAAATTTTTATTTAATTTAACAAACATGAGGACTAGATTATCTATAAACTTCTTTTCAGCTCCATAATTCAGAATTAACTCAACCAGTGCTCTGACAATACAAAATCATTCAATTATTTTAGGTTTTAAAGGATACAGTATCTATTTTTTATCTTTCAGAACTGTTAGTTCACATAGAGCAGAACTAGAAGGTTTACATGCACCAGGATTTCAACTCCTTACTGAATTAATACAACAACATCTTATAGTTCCAGAAAAATATGTCTGGAATTTATTTCTGCCATCAATATCAACTCCGACAGAATCATCAATTTATTTTATATCAAGATACATTAGTTCCTTTGAGTTAGCCGAGAATTATAAACCAAGTATATTAGGATCAGGAGATATATCTAACGGTACATCTCATCCCTTACGTACACACTTATTACATTGGTTATTACCTAGTACTGATACCAATATATCAGATAAACAACGCATAGTTTGTAATCCTGATAAACTAGCGTGTGTTCTAGTAGGGTTAACTTTACGAAATCCTGAAGCAATACGTTGTAAACATACAAAGGAACAATTGATGCAGTGGACACACTTAGAAAATGTATATCTAACTAGTAGTTTAGATTGTGAGTTAGAGTTTGAGAAGAGTGTTGAATGTAAAGATATAAAAGAACAAGTTAAAACGTGTAATATAACTGACCTTTATGATTTATTACAACGTTTATTACACAATGAATGTAGATATTACAATGATATAGCTGAAGATCAGGTACAGTAGAATAATTATGAAATTAGAGATTTTAAACAGAAGTTTAAGTATTGGGTAAACTTGTTGGAAGATCAATCGATGCTATCAGATAATTGTCTCAATCCCTTACTTCAAACTTCAAAAAATTATTTCATGTCAGCACCACCACATCTCTATCAAACAACTTGCCTGAAATAAGGCTTGTAGAAGACTTGAAATACGTATTTAACATATTCAACGTTGCATTATTATTATTTTTTACAGCTTTCAACTTTAGAAAATATGGCTCTATTATGTTCACTATTGTCTAAAACTGTGTATTATTTATTGGAATATGATGTATTAACGGAAGTAACATGCCAATCTTGTAATATAATAACAGATTTAAAACAGTTATTATCAAAGTTTTCAACATGGTTATGTGACTATAAAAGTAGAGATGGTGTAAATAGATTGACAACAGTTCTATCTAATTTACATCACATGTTTACACTACCATCACTGTCCCATTCAGCTTTTATCATTCAAGAATTGAATAGAAAATTAACACCTTCAAGACTACTGGATACATTGATAGAAATAGCCATGGATAAGGTATATACTGGGTTTTCAACTAATAACTAACCCCTAGTTGAGCTTATTTCCACTGACAGTCATAATTAAACATTGAATGGAATGGATTATGAATGAATTGTTTTATTACAATCATAGAAATGGGTGAATGAAATAGGCCAATAAAGTATAGTGAAATCATTTTTTTGTTCAAATTCTTTGCAGAAGATTGAAATGTAAGTTTTTGCCTCTCACTCTGATTCAAAAATTGTCCTAGCTTAGTCTATACCTATGTATATTCTTGATTTAAACATAAGGTTTTAAATTTCACAGATTGAGTTGAACATGTATTATATTTGAAATTGTTTTTCCAGTTGCCAAGATCAAACAGTAAAACTGATAATATATTTGGACGTCCAGACAGGCAGAGTAGTTCTTCTAGTAGACGACCAGTTATTGATGATCTTGATGATCTGGGCTTTGGTGATACACCAAGTTTACAGAACCAGTCAGAAGATTTAATGGAAATAGACAGTGAAATTCCTGATAGTCAAGATTCTGATGAAGTCAAAGATCAAACAAAAGGTAGGTCAAGGCCAAGAGTTGCCACAATATTTTGACCTTCTGACTTAGTTTTTATGAAAATGGCTAAGATTTGATTAAAGTAATATTAGCATATAAGAAATTTTGATAGATTTGATTGACTAATGTGATCAAAATCATCCACATTAGGATGGTTTTATTATTCAATCTCTTAATCATAGAGAATTCTGGCAATTGAAACTTGGTTGATCACAATAGAATAAACATTTTTAGCTTTTATTCTTTGTTTTACAGTGTGTGTAAGCTTATTAAATTCTGATAGTTTAACAGAACATCAGTCAATACGACTACAAGTGATAAATCTATTATGTTTATGGTGTAGTCATAATAAGAAAAATGCTAGTTTACCTATATCTATACAAGCTAGTGTAGAAACTAGTTTTATCAGAAATAAACTCACAGAGTTATTAGATGAATCTAATTTTGATTGTGACAAGGCAATAGATCTTCAAATAGTAAGTATAGATTATTAAACCTTGATATTACAAAAGGATGAATGTTTGGTGTACAATATCTGTGGCTTTGTTGTTGAATATCTAAAGGAGCAGTGGTACAGCTCAGATTGAAATGAGACAATGAATATTAGTTGTCGGCTATGTGAAAGGTGCTCTAGTATCTAATCATTAGCATGTCTCAAGGAAAAACAGTGAAATTTCAAGGTATTTCAAATCAAGGTAAGTGCCAAGACCTCACTTTTCCACCTACCCTTGTAACTTTCCAACTTAATCTTTTTCAGTTACGATGTTTAGTTTATGTTTTGACATCAGACAGTCATAAAGTAACAGAAAAAGATCTAGAAAACCTTACTGATGGTCTCAGGTTAGTTTTCCTTTTTATACGCCCACACGTAAGATGGGCGTATATTGTAATCACCCCGTCGGTCGGTCGGTCCGTCCGTCCGTCCGTTCACATTTGGCTCGTGCTCACTCTACAGGCTACAGTTCTTTATGGATTCTTTTGATTTTTATTTTGTATGTCAATGTTGTTATGAAGATGATCCCTATTGATTTTCGTGATGATCGGATAATTTTTCACCGAAATATCGTGTCTGACTTGACGTTTTTCTCTATTAGCTATATTGTGCAAGATTCTGATGAAGTCAAAGATCAAACAAAAGGTAGGTCAAGGCCAAGAGTTGCCACAATATTCTTTTGATTTTTATTTTGTGTGTCAATGTCATTATGAAGATGATCCCTATTGATTTTCGTGATGATCGGATAATTTTTCACCGAAATATCCTGTCTGACTTGACGTTTTTCTCTATTAGCTATATTGTGCAAGATTCTGATGAAGTCAAAGATCAAACAAAAGGTAGGTCAAGGCCAAGAGTTGCCACAATATTCTTTTGATTTTTATTTTGTGTGTCAATGTCATTATGAAGATGATCCCTATTGATTTTCGTGATGATCGGATAATTTTTCACCGAAATATCCTGTCTGACTTGACGTTTTTCTCTATTAGCTATATTGTGCAAGATTCTGATGAAGTCAAAGA